CTCATTTGGAAAAATAAACCGAAAAAGCTCACGTGTTTCAAATCGAAAGCATGGGCTGCTTATTTACAAACACTATGAGTTTACCAAACAAAATGGATCAGTTGATTGAATGAAGTAATGATAATCATATTTGTCTGATATCAATATCTTAAATACGGACATCTCAAAATGTGTCAGAAGCTAGGATTATCTATATGGTGTTTGTATGAACTAACGATTCCTTTGTACTGGTTGAATGCTTGATTTCGAATTCCAAGTACAGTACATTCGTTAGTGCTTATCTAGTTCCTCTTGATTCAATTGAGTTATTTCTAGGATTCTTAGTTTAAACTATAATTCAAATACTCTTAATTATCATATCGGCGTCGCGATGGAGCCTGCTACGGAACAGTTAGATACTCATTCAACTTCTGAAGCTTCGAGGATTATTTGGAAAGGTTTTAAATCTGGAGCATGACAAAGAAAGATGTTAAGGGTGATAAAATTATGGCACATTTCTTGACATTCATCGGAAAAGAAGCATACAGCTTATTAAAAACTTTGGCATATCCAGAAAAATCTATCTCACTTCCTTATGCAACTCTTAAAATGCTATTATTTAACCATGTCAAGTGCCTTAGTTTTGAACGCCGTGAAAGGAGGAAATTCCATAAGATGATTCGTGAAAATGACCAAAACGTTCAGGAATTCATCCTTGAATTGCAGAAACAAGCTGCCAAGTGTAATTTCGGTGATCAACTTCATGTGCAACTGAGAGATCGATTAATTGCAGGAATTAACATACCGAGTTTGGAAAAAGAGCTGTTAAGAATGCCAAACTTTTCCTTTCAAGATCCTAGAACTGCGTGTATTAACTTCGAAGCAGTGAATGAACTTGATATCTAGTCGATGAAGATTTCTAATACTTTGCTTAGTCGTCATGATAAACTACAATCTCAGGGTCAATCAAACTCCCGTTCGTTTAACAGTGATTCCTATTCTCGTGTAAATATGAAAGATATTTCGACAAGGAATTACAGAGCAAATCACAGAGGTGAGATGAAGTTTGGTAAATGTTTATCATGTGGAAAGTTTCACTCTCATAATTCATAAGCATTTCGCAATGCAGAATGTTTTAAATGTGGTAAGATAGGACACATTCAGTTAGTATGCAAGGCTACTGTCCATTTTTCTCCAAGTAGTACTAAATCTTATGATTTAAATCCCAATAATTCGGATGTTTCTAGTAATCATTTATCTTTGTCTACTATTTCGAAAGGCAATGCCAATATTCAAAAGCCACTATGTACATCGCTTGGTTTATTTCATGAATTTATTGTGGACACAGGCAGCATAGAGTCCATTATTTCATTCAAGAACTTAAAATCTTTAGATCCTAACGTTGTGGTACGACCCACTGAAGTATCAATATTAGGGAGTACTGGGCACAGACTGCCCATACGAGGATGTTGCGAATTGCTAATTAGAGATGATAATTCTTCATACATAACTTGTGAATTTTTAGTTAGCGAAACATGACTGTCAATACTGGGTTTAAAGAAATTGAATAGGCTTCAAGTGGAGTTGTCCTTCCTAGTTTCTAAAGAGAATTCTGATACTTTACTTAAAGATTTGATATCTATGTGTGCTAAGTGCAGTGGAGGTATGAAAATTCAGCCTATAAAACTTCAAGTACAGGGTGATCCAGTCTTTTTTAAAAGACGAATAATTCCTTGTGGTCTTCGAGAAGCAGTACATAAGACATTGAACGATTTGTGTGAGAAAGGCATAATTGAACCGATTCAGTCTTCAGCATGGACTGCTCCTACTGTTACGTCACTGAAGTCGGATGGCAAGACCCCTAGAATTTGTGGTGACTATAGATTAACTCTGAACTCCCGTTTGTTGAAGCAAACGTGCACGACGGTAGAGGCTGAAGATATTCTAAATCGACTTCATGGTTCTAAAGTTTTCTCGAAAGTTGACATAAAAGATGCTTATCTTCAAATTCCTTTAGATCAATCTTCACCTATTTTGACGACAATTAATTCTCCTTTTGGTCTGTTCAAATACAATTTCCTTCCATTCGGTCTACGTTGTTCTCCAGCTACATTTCAGGAAGTTATGAATAAAGTAGTTAGTGATCTTGAAGGTGTTGAATTTTATCAATATGATCCCATTGTTCATGGTTCTAATAAGGTAGTTCATGACCAGAGATTTATTGCTTGATTGCGTCGTTTGTATGAGAAGAATATTAAGGTGAATCCAAATAAGTGTTCATTTTGTGTATCTAGTTTTGAATGCCTTGGATACCTAGTTGATGGTAGTGGTTTTAGACCAGATATGAAACGACTAGCTCCACTGACAAATGCACCGTCTCCAAAAAATCTTACGGAATTACGTTCACTAGTGGGTGCTCTTCAATACTATTCCCGTTTTATTCCTAATTTTTCTTGTCGTGCACTGTTCATTTAGTATTTTGACATCCAATTCATTCAAATGGGGTGAGGAATAGGAGTCATGCTTACGAAGTCTACTAAAGTTTCTTGAAAATGATGCTGTTCTTCAAAGTACTCCATTAATGAACATTCTGTGCTTATTATTGATGAATCGTTTTTGGGTATTGGAGCAGTTTTGGAACAGGAAGGTAGACCAGTTATTTGTGTTTCACGCAAACTTACTGTTACTGAACAAGGTTATTCACAGACTCAGCGAGAAGCATTAGCTGTGTTTTGGCTGTTAAAAGACTTCATAAATAGTTATTCGGAAAAAATTCAATATATTCACTGATTATGAAGCTTTAATGTTTATTTGTCATCCTGAAAAATAATTAACAAGTTTATCAGCTGCTTTGTTTCAACGATGGAGTGTTGCTTTGTGTGCCTAAGTCTATGCAGTTCAGCAGAGGAGTGCCAAACGAGTTCAACACGTTGACTACATTTCTCGACAATCATTACAAGACAGATCTATTAATACTTCGGACTGTTTGTTAGTGCAACCTTTACCAGTGAGACGTTCAGATCTCATTAGAGAAACTCGCAGATATTTTGGATGTATTCTCAGTGCTATACGGAAAGGCTGGACTGCTAATTTGAAACGTAGATTTCCTGTTTATCTTTCAAAGCGGGATGAGCTATACGCTGCTACTGATGGTATTTTGTGTTCAAATGGTCGTGTTAATATTCCTCCTTCATTGCGTGAATCTGTCCTTGAAGATCTTCATTCTGGTCATGTAGGTGTTGAGAAAATGAAGTGCTTGGTAAGGCCCACATGTTGGTGGCCAGAGATAAATGCAGATATATGTCGTACGGCAAACAATAGTGAGAAATGTCATCAGTTGAAAAATCATCCTTCGAAGTGGACCCATGGCCAGTATCGTATCAATGATTTAAGTAAACACAACCGACATGTTGATCAAATACAATTCCAGGAATCAGGTGAGTCTGTTCCAATTTTGGTTGTTAATTCTAATGCTAATGAGCATATTATAGATCATACGGAATCTGCATCCAATACACGGTCGTACAAATACAAGACGAATTTAAGAACATGACATACAATCAGTTACAGACACTTAGACTCCAGTATAAGCTGTGGTGGGTGTGGTGTTTGTATGAACTAACATACGTTATCGCTTATCTAGTTCTTCGTGATCCAATCGCGTTATTTCTAAGATTCTTTGATTGTACTATAGTTTGTATACTTCTAATTATCAGAAAAACAGTAGTGGGCGCGTAGCAGCGATATACCTACGATATTGCTCAATTGCACATCAAGTGTACACTCAAGAGTTCAATCATAATGAATCTGTAAGGTGCTCAATAAGAGTGTCTAAAACTTCGAGGTGTCTTGATGGTGACGTCTACAGGAAGCTCACTGATGACATACAGCACAACAATCACATAACGAAAAGATTATTTCACTCTACTTGTCTGGACTGCATTCATATCCTGACTCCATGAAATTCAGTTTTCTCATAGTCGATGTTGCTGAACATACGTACATTGAAGGTGATAAATCTACTGAAGCTTGATTCCTTGACCTCATTGAAGTTCTGGGATTATTTTAGAATGTGAAGTTAGCAACTCGTTGGAGAAAAAGTCAGGCTCCGTCAATCTTAGACTGCATATTTAAAAACGAAGAATTATTAAATGAAAATTCCTCAATATTGGCTCCCCGTCTTTATGGCAACGTCTCACGGCAACGAAAAGCAACCTGCAGCGATAAAGAATCTCATTCGTCGGTTTCGGTAGGCAAAAGTCCTGTATAGCCAAATTTTACTGACCGCAGTGTACAGATGGACAACCACCCTTGATTGCAAGAGGAAGATTGACGTCACATACTTTGACTTCTCGAAGGCCTTTGATATGACCAATTATGTGTCTCATCAATAAGCTCAAACGATAAAGCACCAAGTCATTGATGTTGGAGTGGCTTACTTCACGCCTAAATAATCAACTTTTTGAAAGCGAGTTAGATCTCATTCTTTTTCAGAATATGGAATGTTATACGATGTTCCTGCAAGTTTCAATACTCGTAACTCTTGTTTCCTTAAGTTTTATAAACGACTTTACTCAGCAGGAGACATGCGATTTATCACTTTTCCATGATGATGTGAAAATCTGGAGGTAAGTTTGCAACTAAGATGATAAACTGACTTTTAAGGAGAATCGAACTCGACTTCAAAGCTGGGCGGACAACAACTGACTTACTTTTAACACTGAAAAGTATGAAGTGGCTCATCTGGGTATGTCGTAGACTAGGAATACAATTTGGTAACTCCACTCTAGAGGTACCCAAGGTTGTGTTTGTACCCTATGATCTGAAGTCATATGCCAATTTTAACATAAATGCTTATCGAGCAACAAAGTTTTGAGTAAATGTACTTTTTAGAACAATTCAATATTTGTTCTAGAAAATCTTCAACAAGGACGTGCATATATTTGACTTTCAAACTTGAATTTCAACTTATGTATTTGTTGTACTGTATCCATAAGGAGTTCATGAAGCAACCTTGCAAAGGCACGCTTTCAAAGGTGTTTCAGGATGAGCGAGAGTGATGCTCTTTTCGATGACGTATATGAGCTTCATGAAATTATTGGAAAGTAAGTTGAAAGATCGTGGTGTTTTAACTTTTTCCGCAGGCATCAGGTAGTGTTTTTCTAATGAAACGGGGAATAATTTGAATTTTTCAAACGTTATGTAGTGTAGCTTTATTTTGGAAGCGCTGATGATAACCAAAACTCTGTGAAGTTTCTTTCTGTTTCATTTTTGTGCGCTTAGTTTCGTCGACACAATTTCGGTACGACTTAAGAAAAAATTTGCGATCTTGACATTTAGCCAATCTCCTTATTTCGAAGAAATTGTTGTCCCTTTTGGATAAACCTTGGGAAAGCCGCAATATGAAACTCTTAAGAAATCTTTGGAAAGTAGGACAGAACCTCCAAAATTTTCGAAAGTCCTGAAAAATATCCAAAATGTTTGGGGAATATTCTTTTTTCTTCAATATTTCCCTTTAATCTTATAACACTGAGGTTTTCCTTCACATTTTAGGAAACTTTGCAAAAAACTGCCAGTCGTTTCACGACTTTGGGGAAAACCCAAAAAGTTTCCAGAAATTCCCCAAATTTTCCTCAAAATAGGGAGATTGGTTATGACTGCTATTTCTTTATAAACTTAAGACTTATAAATTTGTGCACACACCTGTTTCCATTGTTACGTCTAAGAAACGTAATTAGGTGTGTCTTGTGCGTCTTTCATTGCGACTGGAATAAAGTCGGGGAAAATTTTGGGATTTTCCCCCAAAGTCGTAATAAATATAGTAGTTTACCCCAAAGTTTGTGAAAAGTTTAGGGAAAAACCTCACAGCCTTATTAGGTTCTGTGGAAATATTATGGAAAACCTAGAACTAATCAACTTAGTGGGCATTACTCAAATGCTTGTTAAACAGACTCAATTATCTAGATCAGTGTGGCAATGCAGATGCAATAATTGTCCGAATTACCATTTCAGGACTAAACATCTAGATTGAACAGTGATTGTTCAATGATCTCACTGTATATGATCGTTAGGTCGAGGTCTTCTGTACCCAAATACATGCAGACTACAGTCGATCATACCTCATATTTCCTTTAAAACAGACTAATCTATGTACATAGCAATGTTGGGAGAGAGGTGTATAGTTCATTCTTCTAAGCAACTCAATTTTGTGTTTTACCCTTTTATTAATCACTATATTTTGTCACATTTTTTTTCAGAGGGCCTTTCAGCGTTATACGACGATGTACACGTAGAGATACTGGTACTGAGTATGCAGTTAAAATAGTTGATGTTGTAAAGTTTACAAGTAGTCCAGGACTTTCTACAGCAGGTAACTACTTTTCAAAAATATCTTGGTTAAAATATGCAGTTGTTAATCTGATATTTGAAATTATAGATTAGACTAAGCTAGGAAAAAACGTGAAGATCGACTGTTAGTTGGTTTCTTATCTTATCGCCAGTTGGAAATAAGAAAATATTTGTGTTGAGATAATGGACTAAAGTTTTAGAAGATGTGAAATGAATGTGTTTGCCAATAAGATAGGTTAAAAACTATGCTATTCGACGTTTCCAGTCATTAATCCTCGTTTTTGCGCCGAGTTTAATCAGTTCGTCAGTATTTACATTTGTGACTTTAGCTTGAAACTCCAATGCGTTACTCTTTTACGTTATTAGGTCTAGATAGCCATCAGCTGGTTCAGTGGATGTAATAATATCTTAGAGGGTGTTTATTTTTCCATTGTTGATATTCAAGATTTTATTTGATCTGTCTCTGTTAACGTACATGAACTACAAGTGGATGACTCATTACTGTTCATAGATACAAGTTTTATTGTATTTTTGAGTTATGGTTATCTGGAGAATGTAGGACGAGGATTTCATCTTAACATTCTAGTTCTGAACGTCAACAACGGGGAAATTTACATTTTTATAGTAGATAATAAATGAAGATTTATCGTTAGTAACCTTCTCCTCAGTCTTTAGAGTGATTAATCCATAAATATTCTATCACGATATCTAGTGTAATATATATACCCATAAAAGTTTTGAGTGAACGAATTCTAAAATTTTGTATCGTTTTTGGGATTCATTTCACTGAAATATTGAATGCACTTATGTAAAAACACATATTTTGAAAGGATAATTTCACTAGGTAATATTCGGTCATGTACATACGTTAAAACTTTATTGCAAAATAAAAATTAACTTACATCGAGTGAATCCTTACAAACTCTTCTTACACCTTATTCACAGGTAATTAGTTTTAAAATTAATCTTCACGATTCTTACGGAGAAGCTATGATTAACTGAGTCGTCATATCTGATCTAAAGAAGTTATCAATTGACTGATTGGAAGATTATTTTGATGTATTAAGAATTGATCACAAGTGAAAATATAGAGCTTTTGATTGAGGATCAGTAGCTAGAGAGCAACAACGAGGTCGATAACCCTGCTAGAGTTATGAGTGAAAACCGTATTTAAATTTCATAACATAGGAATTAAACAACTCTATCGTTCTCAATGGTTTTTTAGTTTTGGTCTATTTGTATCGTTGGCTACTGTTATAACTTGTGGCCTGTGTGCCTTGTTAATGTATAACGTAATGATACCGCCAATTAAAGAACAGCGAGTTATCGATCGGACCAATGACTCGTGAAAGCCCGTACAAGCAGTCTAGAGTCCTTATCGGTCCTGCTTACCACCTAGCTCAGCCTGTTAATTCCAGAACAGTAATCTCATCCTCTGAAATATGAATCATGTAATTCAAACATACTGGGCTTATTTACCAACAAGACAGACCACATTGTACCACAAAATAAGAAACAACATTTGTACAAAAATTAGCCAAATGTGGCTGTGAATAAGGGAAATAGTAATTGATAGACATAGTATAACTCAAGAATGGTAAATCGTATAATAACATTTCATTGATCGAAATAAAGCTTATGATAAGAGAAACACGAATATAAATAGTTTAGTCATTTAACAGTTATACGATAAAAATATACGCATAGTACTAGTCCATAAATGGGTTCCAAAAGTTACCATTCGTTGTTCTCATCGGCATATAACAGCTATATTCGAAATAAGTTTTGTTCAGGTTTTTAATCAAGGGATCAGATGCTCACATATTCTGAACACACTGCAAGAAGAATAGATGGAAAAACCGAAGAGCTTACTACTATAAAATAAGTATCACTGTAATTTCTTTTTATAAAGAAGTTATATATATTCAAATATAGAACGAGAAGACAAATGGTCTCCAAATTTAAATCAACAGTATTTTAAATGCTAAAATGTAAAAGCAATATACCTACTATTATTCTAAAGTTGCGTCCAGTATAGCCGAAGTGCGCGCTTGTTTCTCAACCAAATCATTTATCATCATTAATTGCAACTCACAATAGTTACAATATGTGGTCGTACACTATGGATGTACACAAATCCAGAAATCATCTATCTAAATAACTTCACATTAATTCATTTTGCATTAGATGTTTGAATCCTCGCATTGACTCTTATTGACATATATACATCCTGTGTAGATGACCTCAATATTGCCTTAAGTTACAAGCATTATAAACAGGGATGGATAGTGGCTAAGAGTGGAATCTAGGACGCGCGTTTTATCCTATTTCGAACTTTTCAGCTGTTTATAATGCTTGTAATTTAAAGTCATATCAAAAGGATACTCTCACTATCCACATATACTAACAGGAGAATGATAAATGGCAGACATAGACAACAATGATAAAATTAAAATAACTAACACACGATAAATTAAAGTTAAGGCGATTGCACAAGCTAGTGGCTATCTTGACTTTGTAGTTAAGCGTATAACGCGCTATGGCGTTTTCAGTGAACGGTATTGAGTTCAAATTTTGTATCGAACATCAACTCTAAAATGTAAGTACATCGATATAACTAGTCCTACATACGAAAAAACGTGCATCCTCGATTCCACTGCTAGTCACTAACCATCTTTGCTTATAACACTATCAACATTAGTTCTAATTCTTTTCAATCTATACATAACACCAAGTGATTCATTAAAAGAATCATGACTGTGTTATACTGTCTTTCTTAGACATTATTATAGAAACATATGTTTGCTCAAATATTCCTTCTATTGGATATTAAGTAGTAAGTATTGAACCCACATTTTTGTCTTTTAATAATTGACAATTTGTTACTCTAAACTTAGGTTTTATTAAAATTATATCGTCAAAACAATTTCTTCATTGAATGATTTCAATGGATATCTTAATTCCTATCTGTAAGGTTTTGTAAACGTACAAATGTGAGTGCATATACCTTTATATATTGTCTAACTATCGAAACTATCTATTGACCTTATTCCCCCCCATTTATAACAGTTGTTTTTCCTCCTCATATATTCGTGTGTATCGTTGGAAAAATGTCGGTCAATTTGTTTTGTTTTTTTAAGGGAAACCTTTTTTTCCTTCTTCCCCATTTTCTTAAATATTGATATAATGCTTAAATATGGTTACTAACGTTGTCTATCTACCTGTCTATCTTACACTCACTTTGTTATTTATACTTTCATTCATACACACATATACACACATTCATCCATCCATGTGCTCAGCATCAATGAGATGAAAAAATGAAAGAAAATGTGAGAAGAAGAAATCCTCTCTTCTGACGATAAGATTTAGTTCGATTTTTACTTACTATTACCATTAAGTTAATTTATTGAGTTTTTATATGAAAGTAATGAACTGGAAACTAATTCAAAGAGCGTAAAAAAAGAATAACTTTTATTATTGTTCTAAGCTTAAATAAGTAATAGTTGTTAGAAAAATCTAATATCAGATAGGTTTTGTGGATATTATAGTAACTTCAATGGTTAAGATCATGAGTCAGTTGAAGTTAGACCATCATGGAAAACCTGGAACCACTAGAAGGCCGTTTCGTCATATTGTGGGACTCTTCAGCAGTGCGCATCCACGACCTCTCCCTCCGTGAGATTCGAACCCAGGATCTACTGGTTTCGCGTGCGAGCACTTAACCACTAGACCACTAAATCGATCATTATACATACTTGAATAATAATTACTGACATTACAATTTCGTTTCTACTAGGAGGATTTTCTCGATTTGGTACATTATTTTCATTGTTATCAGTGATATCGATTATAGAAGGATTGAACAATTATGATTTATTGGTCAACTATTTTGTTGTAATGTTCAGAACAATTTTTACATAGCTATTTGTTAAAATAATTGTTTGTGGGATCAGATATTACATGGACTCCTAAACATAGACTCTTGCTTGGGAAGTCTAATCCACATTGGAATGCGGCAACATCAGGATATGCATTCACATGGTAGTTGAAGACCAAACTAGGTTTATGCACTATTCATCCTCTCAGGATCCTGGAGCCTATGTACATCAATGGTTTGGAAACAATGTTTTTCCAACCGCCCTGCGTAGACCTCCCGTATCTACTAAACCTGCTCAAGCGCCGAATTTTATATATTTGTCATCTCACCATCATAGAAAACATTACCATGCGAAGACAGTAACTAGGACTTTCTTGACAGAGACTATATACTCATGGAAACAGAAGAGCATTTAGTGAAGTTGAACAGGCTCTTCTCATCCTCAGGTGTTTCAGAACGTTTGGGGACACTACAATTGATTTTAAGTCATACCAGTTTGTTTTTACACTGATTTCCATCTTAATGACCTAACCTGCCGTCCTCCTCCACAAAACTTAAACTAGTAGTTGCCAACTTCAAAAGGAAGTGTCATAGGTTGTTCTGTCCATAATTAAACTTCTTCACTACTAACCTACTTCAATTTCAACATCTTCCATCTGAAAATCCCTAAGTCAATGGAAGATCACAAGCTGACCAACTTGCATGAAACTTATCATCTAGTATGAACATTGCTTCGTCCATGATATTATTATACTCGATGAACTGCAGTAACATTAAAAACCTTGCATATTGATTCACCAATTCAAGGGATTATACCAAAGGATGGTAAAGTCGAAGTCAAACCAATTCCTGATTGAAGTCATGAACCGATTGTTATTTGACCACCAGTGAAAACCTGGAAGTACTGGATGACTGTTTCGTCCTATTGCTAGACTCCTCAGAAGTGCGCCGATTGGTTGAGGTTAGACATTAACACCATTAGATGCTGACTCAGTGGTCTAGAGGTTAAGCGTTCGCGAGCGAGACAAAAGGTCCTGGGTTCGAATCCCGTGAACGGGATCGTGTATGCGCACTGCTTAGGAGTCTCACAATAGTAAGAAATAGCCATTCAGGGCCTTCAGGCTAACAATGGTGATCTAACATCAATCGGTTCATGATCTTAATCAAAAACTTAACAATCTCCACAACCCTATAATGATAAAAGCAATTCATGGAATCGTTAGAAAAAATACTATGTTGATAAGTCTTAAAAAGCCTACGGTTAGTAGTATAGAACTTGACCGACTTCATTAACAACATGAAATTATCACATAAAAGTGCTTTAACTACAGCTAAAACACTGAAATTAATAAATATCAACTAATGCAATATAATCTTGATAACCTGCTTCTTGTTTATGATATCAAGGAAATTGTTGAATTGATTAGTTTATACTTATAGGTTATTGACATAGATTTTTAGTTATCAAGCTTTTAAAGCATAAATTCTAACCTGTATAACATTATTCTGCATATCAAAGAAACCATAGCTATTTAAATAAGTTGTACAGTCAAGACAGACACATAAAAGCTTAACAAGTTAATCCTTGTAGCTACGTAAAACTTAAATCTAAATAAGCTTTCTTATATGTAATTCTTTATTTGTTTAGAATCCTATACATTTTAAATTCTATTTCATATCCTTCTGAATCCTAAACATTACAATCAGTTCATTTCTAGACCAACAGTTATACAAAATACCGTCAAGAAAAAGAAAGGCAATCCTATGATATTAATTTAGTCCAATATGTTACACACTCATATAGGACAATTGTAGATTTGTTTATATACGCTTAATTAACCGTAAATGTAAGAATCTATAGTTTGTGATATATATGACAGGACTACTTTACAATTCAACTAAATAAAACACAACAATAACAACAACTATAAACCCTAATTTACAGTATCTAGTATTCTAATAATCGAAAATATACATAAACACTGGACAGCGTATATCTTCCAGTAATACCATTGATAATACACTAAAGAATATATATATATATATATATATTGCGGAGAGTGCTGAAGGCAGTCAGCAAGGTGTGTGGCGAATCTTTCGAGGTCATAATTAATATGGTTGTGGATGGACAACTAAAGTTATGCAAACTCCTGGCAGGTGTTATCTTATCAGATATTAACCATCCCCTTCACTCTTATCTTTCTCCTTGTATATCTTCTGGTAGAACAAGACGTCAATACATTAAAATCCATGCACGCAAATAAAAGTATAAAAGTTCTATAATACCTTATCTAGCAAATATACTCTGTGACGAACAGGTTGTTAGAGTTAACCTAGTCAATAACCTTCATCCTTATCATGTCTCTAATTTGAAAAGTTGTACAGTTTTTCATTATTTTTAACCTTTTTTTGTCTTTGTCACCGTTTTTTTTGCGCAAGCAACCCTGTGCTGAGAATTCTATATTGTACCAAACTATAATATTGAATAAAGCCATTCATAATAATAATACATATTCATTGAATAATTAGGTATGACTTTCATAATCAACTTCTGGGATTCAATTTTTCCAAAACAGAATCTCAGTTTTTATTCAAAAAGTTTAAGAGTTTAAAAATTGTCTAGTTAAAAAAAATTTCCCTTTCGTTCTGCTTGATATTCATTGCTAGCCACTATACATCTTTGCTTAAAAAGCTTGTGACTTAAGGCTATATCGAGGCAATCCGCACATAATGCACATACGCCAATACGTGACTGATCAATTGCAGTCTTAAATAACAATTGGAAGATGCAAGTAAAACAACACTAAGTGAATTTGATTTATAGTTGTTTGGAAATTCATTAGTCACAATATATTTGCAGAAAGTAGAGTTTTTCGAGATGATAGAGAAGATTTTTAGCTTAGGTGAAGTAGAGTTTTTCCTTAAACGGTTTGATTAAAGTATAAAGAAATATTTGTTCGGTTACAATTTATGAAATTTCATTAAAGCGTATACAGTCGAGGCTTAATTAAGTTCGTTGGTGAGTGGTTCAGTTTTAAGTGTTAATTGTAGTGTGTAGTTGCCGACACCTTGTTAGGATACTTCTTCTTAAGGTACATGAAAAGAAAAGTGGATTAATACTGATCTTGGCGATCTGGAAGTGTAATCACTGAGTTCAAGGGACAACTGATTGAGACCGGTCATACATGAATTCTTAGTGAGTTCTTGATGTGTTAGTTCCTTACTTCCAAGATCTTACTGCCAGCAGTGAAAATCCGTGGGCGAAGTTACATGTAGCAACTTCGGTACCGATCTTTCCTGATTCCATTTTTCCGTTGTGCGGAAGAAAAATCACTACTGTTTTTTTGTTGGAGAAGAATACCTTAATTCCTCCACATTATAAAATACAACCAGCAGTATGACTTCTCCTTCGAACCTTAAGTTGATGCTTTTAATCTTACCATACTACAACCAAGCTGATAGGTAAGGTAGGGTGTAAACGAATAAATGTTCCAGCCAATATATCCCAACTGGATCACTACAATGGATAGCCCAACCCACCATATCAACGCAGCAGCCACAAGCATGTATATAATTCAGTTGCTTGATAAAGTGAACATATAATAACAATATAAATCCAAATCTAAATACAAAAATAGACCTAAAGATTCTGAATTTGATTCCTGTATTTGATATTGGATGGGTGTTGATGAAGTATGTTATGAAATCAAGCTATGATTAATCATTTAATTCTAAATTTCTAAAAAAACGTTTTTGATCTATGTCAATTGAAAAGGAAAGCAGTTCTAAACACTTTAAAAGAATTCACTTGCTATTGTTTTACTTATATCTTCCGATTGTTATTTAGAACTGCAATTGATCAGTCACTTATTGGCATATGTGCATCTTGTGCGGATTACCTCGATATAGCCTTAAGTCACAAGCTTTTTAAGCAAAGATAGATAGTGACTAGCAGTGTAATCCATGATGCGCGCCACTTCATCCTATTTGCCACTCGTCAGCTGAGTGTACCTGCATCTCAGAGTTGATGTTCACTCTTGGACTCGAACTCAGTACCGTTCACTTCAAACACTATCGCGTTATCCACTTAGTTACTGAGTCCTGATAGCCACCGGCTTGTGCAATGGGGTGAAGTTTAAATTCACTTGGTGTTATCTTACTTGTACTTTCCCATTGTTATTTAGGATTGCAATTGATCAGTCTCTTGTTTGCATATGTGCATCGTGTGCGGACGAAACGCGCGTCTTGGATTCCACTGTTAGCCACTAACCATCTTTGCTTAAAAAAGCTTTAAAAGAAGGTTAAAATGTTCCTAAACTTTATATGATAGTGAAATTCTCTACTGACTATGATTACTTGTTTCTGATAAATTTTTCTTTGTTCTCTTTCTTCATCAATTCAGATTTGAAACGTGAAGCGAGTATTTGCCACTTATTGAAGCATCCACATATTGTTGAATTAGTAGAAACTTACAGTAGTGATGGAATGTTATACATGATATTTGAATAGTAAGTTTTTTTTTCATCACTGCTTTCTTTTCTTTCGTACGGATTTTATGGTGTTCAAGGGAATAAGTCAACCAGTTGGCTATATCGTACGACCAGGCATATATATGCATCGGTCCAAGTTGCCATAACTCATTAGCACAACAAGATGAACACCGAATTCATTAAAGTAGTTACTTCAATGGTAGATTGTGTATAAAGATATACGGGAAGAAAGAACTGGTTGGTAGAAAGAAGGATGTGAAGCGATTTTAATCTCATAGTTTAAATGAAGACAAAATGTGTATACACCTATGCCAATGTGATCGATTCTGAGCCAAAGGGAATAAAATAAAATGGAACTATGATTTAATCTTTTTCAGGGTTACCGGTTAGTGAACATCTAATTTAGCAATTTAAAAGTTTTCATAGAATATTCGAAAGTAAAGAAGATTGGAATGAATAAGTGTCCTCAATAATTTCACCATTCTTCTCTACAATCCATAATTATTGTGAAATACAAAGGCTAAAATAGGAGATGTATTAATGAATTAAACAATATTATAAGTTTTAAAAATAAGATGTTGAACGTTTGCATCTGTTACAGCTTAATTACTTCGAATATATATCGTTTGTAAGTTATAAATGGGTAGGAGAATTTACTGTGAGGAGTCAAATTACATTCAATATAATAAAATAATGATAATAATAACATTGTGTAGATATAATAAGAGAGGTATTGTCAAGGGGATTGCGATGAGAAATTCATGTGAACTGAAAAAAATGAATCTGTGGATTTGAAACGGGGCAGAGCAGATATAAATATAAAGGGAATTGGTAACAAGCGTTTACAATGTTTACTTACCTACTTACGCCTGTTACTCCCAAAGGAGCATAGGCCGCCGACCAGCATTCTTCAACCCTTTCTGACCTGGGCCTCCCTCTCTAGTTCTATCCAATTTTTGTTCATTCTTCTCATGTCTGTCTTCATTTCTCAGCGTAATTTGTTCTTTCGTATTACTCTCTTCGTTTGGCCTTGGTGATTACAAGTGAGAGCTTGCCTTGTGATGCAGTTCGGTGCTTTCCTTAATGTATGTCCCATTTACTTCCAGCGCTTCTTCTGATTTCTCCCTCCGCTGAGGTTTACAGTATATAGGTTAAATATGTAGCGATCCAGCCGTGAATCAAGGTAAAAATAAAGTTCGAACATACTTTTACAGTTGTTCTCCATGACTTCTGCTACGTAGATGAGTCATAATCTTGATCATTGGGGTAGATTTTTTGAGATACAAAATTGCGAAGGCTTGATCTATTTTAATATGTTCACTATCTACCAAGCGTGAAAGAATGGCGGTGTTAATAAATCTTGTGAAGTCTTTCTCTATTCATCACAGTAAATGTTTACGAGCACGAGAGTAAATTTATTTGAGTACAGCTTATGTAACTATCTTCCCAAGAGCAGTTGGGTTGGTAAACACATATGAGGGAGCCTATTATAGGTACTACGACCGGAAAAAAGCTTCATTTGCATTGGGGTCTGTGTGGTCAGGATATAATTGTAGGAAAGCAGTTGTATGACTCATCTCTCTATCTAATCCGACTATCGACTAGTTAGCTTATATTCTCAATGGAACTGGCGACCTATTAGCCAATTGACACACCGAGCAATAAACAACAACCAAGGCGTTGATGCTTATTAGTCCTTGAGCTTCTTTTAACATAGTGCCTAGTTAGAAGAAGATGATAAAACAGAGATTAGTTCTATGTTGTATTCTATTCAATAATGACTCGAAAGTTATAAGATGATATACCAAAAAGTTTTAATCACACAATAACACAATTAAAGAATTCTAATATGTACATAACACAGTCATCAGTAATACAAAACTAGAGTAATGGAGAAATAATCAACGATAAATTAGGAACCATGAGACATTATCACTATTTATAAGTCAAACGAATGCTTATAAATAGGAATATCTAAAAATACAACATAACAACCGTCTACTAATTACACAATGAAAATGTCAATAGTAATTCTTCGTGTCACAGTCTCTCCAAAGTTGTAATTTCACACCGTTATCTCCATTATGACATATGTGTATATATAGTAATTTAATAGTTGAATTCATGATTCAATGAAAGGTAGACCACCATGGAAAATCTGGAAGCACTGGATGGCTGGTTTTTTCCCAGTATGGGACTCCTAAGCAGTGCGCATCCACCATCCTACCTTGCGAGATTCGAACCCAGGTCCTATCGGTCTCGCACGCGAACGTTTAACCTCTAGACCATTGAGCCGGCCGGTATCTAACGTTGTTAATGTCTAACTTCAGCCAATCCATGAAATTGAGCGACACATCCACCATTGTCTACAGTGAGTTACCATCACACAACAGACCCGGTCGAACTCAACTGGTCACTGCTTCTCACTAGAACTCCAGGAGACCGTCACTAGTGAGAATATGATGAATATAATTAGAGTGGGCTTTTGTGGATATTATAGTTATTTAATAGTTGAATTCATGAGTCAATTGAAGCTAGACCGGTATGGATAAACACTTCTAAGGAGTCCCATATTTGGACGAAACAACCATTCAATGCTTGCAGGTATTCCATTCTTGTCTAACGTCAACTAACTCATGAATTCAACCATTAAAAGTTACTATAATATCCATGATATCCCTCTCTGATTATTTATGTAGTTTTAATTTAGAAAATGTTTATTTTAATTGTAAAAAATAATTAGCTACAACTGAATTTCAGTTTAAGCAACACAATAAACCAGAATAATCAATAACATTTCAGTCATAGTTTATACATAAGAATAAAATTAAAACTGTCAGATATCACGGCGACTATATACCCATTAAATCAATCAACTTAGTTGACATTTTCTAAATTTATCTAATTTTTATAAACAGTATGTTTTTTTTTACATCTATGGTAAATAAATTTTGTCCAGTTGTTAACAAGCAACAAAATAATTTCGCTTGGTATTGTTTGTTTGAATGTTTCCATTGATATTTAGGACTGCAATTGATTAGTCTCTTATTGGCATATGTGCATTCTATGCATACTACCTTGATATAGCCTTAATTCACAAGTATTATATGCTAAGACGGATAATGGCTAGCAGTGGAATCCTGGAGAAGTCCTAAATAGGACAAAACGCGTATCCTGTATTTCACTGCTAGCTACTATCTGTTTTTGTGTGAAACGGAATAACGTTTATTTATAGAGTTGTCAAGGAATTTATAATCTTGAGAACATTCTTTATGACATTTAAGATGATTAATTTTTATAATCAAAGACGAGTTTTGTGGATATTATAGTAATTTAATAGTTGAACGGTTTGGAGGTTAAGCGCTCACTTGCAAGACTGTGATATTTCTTGGGTTCGAATCTCTCGAGGGATCGTGAATTCGCACTGCTGAGGACTCTCATACTAGGATTAAACGGCCGTCTAGTACTTCCAGGTTTTCCATTGTGGTCTAGCTTCAATTGACTCGTGAATTTCAACTATTAAAAAAATAATTACTTTTATAGAAAATATTTTAACAATATTTAGTTCTAGATAAACTTATATGATTAGTAGAAATGGATGTTATTAAAACAATCGACCATTTGACCTTCAACGTTTTTTTCCGATCAATTGAAGTCCTAAATAACAATGGGAAGATACAAGTAAGATAACACCAAGTGAATTTAAACTTCGCCCTTTAGCACAGGCAGGTGGCTATTAGGACTCAGTAGCTAAGTGGATAATGTGATAGTGTTTGAAGCGAACGGTACTGGGTTCGAGTCCCAGAGTGAACATCAAGTCTGAAATGCAGGTACATCCAGCTGACGAGTGGCAAATAATAGGATGAAGTGACGCGCATCCTGGATTACACTGCTATCCACTATTCATCTTTGCTTATTGGGTTTTTTGTCTAAGATTGCTTGTTTGGTATGAACATTAAACCAAATCGTAGATTATCTAACTGTATTAAGCACAAGGATCAATCATAGGAAATCTAATTGCTTTATAATTATGCTTTTCTTTTCTTAAAGTATGAAAGGTGCTGATTTGGCATTTGAAATTGTGAAACGTGCAACAGCTGGCTTTGTTTATAGTGAAGCAGTGGCAAGGTTAGTATGTCATTTTGTACTTCAGTATGTTCTTTACTACTAAGAGGATTAGCATTGACTATCATTTATCTAGTTACAAAGTTATTTAGTTGTATTATCATGAATTACTCTGGCTGTTTTCTTTTCTTGATGTTTTGAAGTAAATATATCTGTAATCTGAATGTAGATATTTACGTGACATTTAACACATCTGTAATGAAGTAGTGAATGTTAGGTGTTTGGTCAAAGCTGTGAACCTAAGTATTGTATTATTTACTGCTTATCAAAAAGAAATATCTACAAAATCAATGCAATTGATACGTCCGCCTAGCATACTAATATGTATCAATCTGTGTCTCTGTTAGGACCTCTGCTATTAAGATAATTGTGTCTTGATTGACTTTCTATAGAACTGAAGTACCTAAACTTTTTAATCACTGAGTAGTAACTAACGTTGTACTATTTCGCAATCGAATTTCCGTATAGCCAGTACAGACTTGATTCTAGGTAACGCAACATCATAGTGTAATTTGTGTGGCATCAGGTGGCTTTTGATGCAGTCGTAAGGAAAGCTGTTGCTCGTTTACAATCACTAGTCAAGTTTATCCTGTCTTAAGAGAACTGATATACCGCCTCATTAGCATTCTAACTAGTATCATGATCAATAACAACTAGATCTGCTTTCTAACTATAAGATTAAAAGTTTGAGTATGATTGTGTATGCTTTAAATCGCTTACACTGGACAAATTATATTAACTGTACTCTTTATAGCTGAAATGTTAAACATAGTCTTATCATCTTTTTGTGTTTAGGCATAATGGGCAGAAAAGCCTGCAGTTTTGAAAGAACTGATAATTCCCGTGTGATTCGAGCCCAGGTCAACCAGTTTCCTAATCCATGATCTCACAGCCAGTACATGAGGTCAGTCTTAGTCCCAATGACTCAATGGTAATGCCTTTGAATGTAAAGCTGATTGACCGAGGTTCCAATCCCACGTGTAAATCAGTTCCCTCGAGATTTCAGACACGTCTTGATAAAGGGTGTCAACTTACTCGAAACCTGGATATAGGCCTTCCTCCCGATTACATTCTACTACTTATTATTCTAATATTTATTTATTAAGAAAACATGTATCAAAAGTTCATTCCTCTTCTATTTTTGTAATTTAGTCATTATCTACGACAAATTCTAGAAGCTATACATTATTGTCATGAGAATAATATTATTCATCGTGATTTAAAACCACATTGTGTTGTCTTAGCAAGTAAAGAGAATTCAGCACCTGTAAAACTTGGCGGTTTCGGTCTAGCCATACATCTAAATTTGGATACAAATCAAGTGAATGGAGGTATGATAATATTATTTGTATTATCCTTTATAGTTTTAATACTCTTGTCATTTGTTTATATATTATATCATGAGTACCTATTATAAATAGTTTTTTTATGGTAATACCTAGTTTGTCATTAAAATATTTTATCAGAAGGGGTTTTGTGGAGATTTCAAAGGAGTTCCATACTAGGAAGAAACGGCCGTCCAGTGCTTCCAGGTTTTCCATGGTGGTCTAGCTTCAATTGACTCATGATCTCAACTGTTTAAATTACTACAATCTCCACAAAACCCCTTCTGATATTAATTAATTGTTAAGTTTTCCAATCATAACAGGATGGAAGTCGATCGTTTTTATTATGAGAAGTCAGCTATATTCATATGGCATATATATGCGTCGACACAAGTCGCTACATGATTTAACTACATAGAGATGAAGTTAAAATATAAGTAATCAACCAAGGGCCCGAAATAACATTATCATTGATAGTAAGAAAACTAAACATACAAAATATGGTTGAGATCAGTAAATTTTCTCAAGTAATAAAAAGTATAAAATAGTAATGAAAGTCAAGATTTAGGGGAAGACAAAAAGTGAATTCATCTGCCTCACTTTAACTGGTTCTGGACTTTATCGTATGATGTCACCGAATACTCAGCACCGTCACCGCGGGTACCCCAAACATACAGGCTTCACGTGACAACACGTTTTAGGTCGACAGTTAATGACTTTATAGGCTCATCATAAGTTTTATTTTGATCTGCTCTAGCTTTCTTCGAATCTACTCATGTCAGCGTTACACGTTAATGTAGGCTGTGGTTGAATATGTGCGACACTTGTCCCGCTCATCTCATCAGTTGATTTGATATTTGTCTATACTATTCTGTTTTTAATTTCAACATTGGTCACTAACTCGTCCCACCTTTTGTGAATAATGGTGAGAAAACATGTACAATCAAGTACATGTAACCTCACATTCAAAAACCACAACTCTTAGTCATGAAGGAAGCGGTCTCAGATTTTTGCTCAGGTTAAATTCTTGTCAAAGTTTTGTCAATTGTGATGAGAATACGATCATCGGCACTTGATTAACACAGCAATCAAGGGATGACGGGTTTGCAAAACGGCAACACCTCAAATTTTACACAATACCAAATATGATAAGAACAAAACGGTTAGTCCTTTGCAAACAGTTCTTCACTGTCTTCATAAAAGATAATCATATAACACAAAATATATCTGTAAGTAGAGCTGAAAATTAATCTTGAAGAATAATATGAACGATGAACAATAAGGTTCACTAGAAGATAGTGTAGCCCATAAATAAGGAGAAACAGTTATCCAAAAAAATAATTATTAAATATAGAGAACTGATGCTTTCTGCGGAGCTCGAACTCATATAACGGGATTTCTTTGTTATGGACATAAATGATATACATCGAATGGTAGACTAAGATATTCGTAATAATAAATTGTTGCCTTCAATCTTCAAAGGCATGAATAGAAGGCCAGGTGACCTGTATTAACCTTTGTGTTCCTAGCCAGTTGAGTCAAGAACACAAGTCACAGCCTCTGAGTTATGAATCATTATATTTCAAACATACTTTGTTTATATACCAATCAAGCATACCACATCGTACCATAAAATAGAAAACAACATTTTGTACAATATTCAACAAGTGAACAGATATCGACCAATAGGAAATGTCCATTTAAAGTCCAAGGACACCATTGGACTTAACATCATAATTATTGGTCTATTCCTCCGCATCCACAACAGTGTTAATATAACGGGATGGCGAAGGTGGTCTTTTTGGTCCACTGGTTAGGTCGGTCACCTGTTGAGGTTAGTTCAGTTTTTAACTATGTCACCCTCCCCCACCAGAATCTACAATATTATTGCGTGACTGTTATAATTTTCTGTCATAATGCTTTGTAAATTATGTTTGTCTTACTTATCCGTTTCATATTACTTCTCTGTTGTATATAAAAAAAAATAAACTCCTACAGATTCACCGATAACGGTTGATCAAGAAATTTTTGTTTCTCTACGTTCTGATCAGTGTGGTAAGTGAAAATGTCCCCTTCCTCTTTCATTATTATTATTATGACAAAATATAGGTAAAACTGATTATTTCTTGTTTGTATTACAAATTGTGATATCAGTTGAATGACTTATTACCTTTCAGGGTATATAAATAGTGAATTCATTTTATCATAGAGCATACAATGCGCTAGGAATATTTCGACAGTCTTCGTGATTGAAACATACGATAATACTTTAATCCATATTGAATTGACCCACTTTTATGCTCCGTGTAATCATTATTGTTATGATTGAATATATACGTAAGCGTTTTTGTATACCTGTGCTCTGAATTTCTGTTCATTCTTTCAATTGTTCCTGTGGTAAATTTAGATAGTAAGGTTATTATTCTTTATTGAGTATAATTACAATTATGGCCCAGTTGTTGAAGGCAATTAGTAATAAGTCACAGACTGGTACTCGTTAGCAAGGCGAAAATGCAGCAGTAGTTGACATATTTTTCTTTTTGTCTATCCTTAGATAGAATGTGTAGTAGTTATGTTAAAATTCATTCCTTTAAAGCACAATACAGTTGTTTCTCAATATATTATGTAACCTATGCGATGAAAATACTTGTTAGATAAAAACTGATTTTATTTATGACGAGTGTCGACAGAAAAGCAATGCCCAACTGAAATTTCTCATATCAAACGTTGTAATGATGAACTCCTATTTTCTCATACTTTAGGTCGCATTGGAACTCCACATTATATGGCTCCTGAAATGATTCGTCATGAACCATATGGAAAAGCTGTAGATGCATGGAGTTGTGGTGTTTTATTGTTTCTTCTACTTAGTGGTTCTTTACCGTTTTATGGAACACGAGATGTTTTATTTACACAAATAGTCTCTGGACGTTACCACGTATGCTGCTGTGTTTTATTTTAAAATATGCAAATACTTTCATTGTATTGTTGATTATATATATATATATATATATATATATATATATATATATATATATATATATATATATATATATATATATATATATATATATATAAAGTCACAGAGCGTTGAACAACAGTTTTAGGTTCCTGTATAGGCTCATCAAGTACTCTAAATGTGATCAAACCTATGACGCACAGGTTTAACAGAAAGCACGATATTTTAAAGCGTTTGAACTACGTTATAATGGTCCACAAACCTAACTTCATTTAGTTCATGATAGACCACGATTACTATGCAGTGTCATTAATTGTGATTCCTTGATTTTCGAACCCAAAGTTTACAGTCGTAAATGTTGATCCTGACATTTTGGTTACTTATTTTTATTCACTTGACTGGACTTAGTGTAAATAATTTAATATTTTAAACAATCGAATCCCCCCAAAAGCAATCGATTAAACCACTGAGCTTAGTTTTCTTTTTAGTTTCCATTTGTTAGCAATGAGAATCACCTATATAACTCAATGATAACGTCCCTAGATATGACAGGCAAGTTGAAATGGTTGCGAACCCTACAACGAATTTGATTTTCCTCAAGTTTCTAGATACTGATTAATGTTAGCATTGCTTATCGTCTAGCCCACCAGTAGAGATTTGATAATAAAGTTAGGAAATATAAAACTAACGATAGTTTGCTAGTGAATTTTTCTCTATTTTTTTTATAGCGTCAACCTCAAGTATGGAATATGATATCACCGGAAGCAAGAGATTTAGTATCACGTTTATTAGAAGTGGATCCAACACAGAGATTAACAATTGAAGAAGCTTTACGTCATCCATGGATTAGTCAAAAAGCTCGTGCATCTAAAACACATCTACATGAAACAGTTGAAGAAATGAGACGTTTTAATGCTAGGCGCAAACTTAAGGTAATTTTATTCTGTATTTTGTGTACGAGTTTTTTGTCTGTCACTTAAAAACATATACGCTTCTGAATGGTGGAAAACATAAAAATAATTTGAAACTTGACGCTAATATATTTGTTCAGATAGTTACAGTTCATTGCAATAGATCCATGGTTTACAGTGATTGAAGTAAATTCTTACGTTGTTCGCTCTCGTTTTCGACCATAGAGCCTATGTACACCATTGATTTCAAATCCGTGGTTCTTCCATCTTCACCAATCTGATCTGTGAACTTAAAATATACATTCCCTTATTTCATTTTTTTAAAAACACTCCACATCACTTGAATATCATGAATTGAACTCACCCGATAAAAGGTTTAAATGAGCTGTGGTATGCGAGCACTTAGACAGGGTGTTATGTCTTTGGGACAGCTGGCCAATATCACGAACCAAGTCAACAATCAAAATCCTAATTCTAGTTTGGTCCATTTTACGTCTCGTTTTTCCTCGATAGCCTGGTGTGTCCAAACTCACCAATCACACTCCCGACATGAACTATTAGTTTTGAGTCAACAGCTAAGTTCTAATAAGTTCCACTATAATTATCTCTCAACAGACATGGTTTATATACAGACATACAAGAACGTATCACATCACGAAATGAAAAGTAACAATTATACCTGAACAAGCCAAAAGTGGTTCTGAATGAGAGAAATGGTGAGTAATGGAATGGTAACAAATTAGGAATAGTAAGTCGTATGACTGTAGCTAATGTGTCAACAAAAAACTTATAATAAACGGAATACATAGACACAGAAATCTTATTACCCAATAATTATACGATAAGAATATATGTAATAATAGTGTTTCAGCAGCCTCGGCAGCAGTAGGTCTCAACATACACAAAGGGTAAAGCAGGATTCTCCGATACAACACAGAATGCAAAATTCAAACCATTACATATCTGGGAAGCATCATTGATGAACACGGTGGATCTGATGTAGATGTGAAGGCGCGGATCGTCAAAGCAAGGGCAACATATTTACAACTGAAGAACATCTGAAACTCAAAACAACTATCAAACAACGCCAAAGTCACAATCCTCAATACAAATGTCAAGACAGTTCTACTGTAGGGGCGACAACTCGGAGAACCACCAAAGTCATCATTTAGAAGATACAAGTGTTTATTGGCAGTTGTCTACGCGAAATACTTCGGATCCGTTGGTCAAACACTATCAGCAACAACCTACTATGGGAGAGAACAAACCAGATCCCAGCGGAAGAAGAAATCAGGAAGAAGCGATGGAAGTGGATAGGACACACAATAAGGAAAGCACCCAACTGTGTCACGAGACAAGTCCTCACATGGAATCCTCAAGGCCAAAGGAAAAGAGGAAGACCAAAGAACAAATTACGACGACAAATGGAAACAGACATGTGAAAAATGAGCACGAATTGAACAGAACTGAAAAGGAAGGCCCAGGACAGAGTGGGTTGGAAAATGCTAGTCGGCGGCCTATGCTCCATTGGGAGTAACAGGCGTAAGTAGATAATAATTGTGTATAGGTTAGTTTTGAGAGTTACCATTCTGTCAATCATCGTTCTGATATAACATTAAGGAAAATAGAGTATTTACATCAGGTCCAACACTAATCCATTTATTTTATTCCTAATTAACATTACTGATCCGAAGTAAATGTCCATTAAATGAGTTATTAACAACACAAAATATACAAAGACGTAAGCTATTACCTAATTATTTATAAGAAATCAACCATTGTCTTGAATAATTCTACGATAATATCTGTCCTGTTATTGGTCTTGTGAATTTTTTTTTCAAATTTTATTCTCCAGGATAACATTTTTCGTTTTATAAAGTTGCGTTTTTTTTAATATTTAGCGTCTTTTTTTGGCCTTATACCCAGCCCTCATCCTTTACCCGGGCTTGGGAACGGCAGTAACCTAAGAGGGTCTCCAGACAAAATTAGAAAGTTTTGTTACCAGTCTATAAAATAAACAATCTTGAATTAAGTCTTTTTCCCCCCCTCCAGATTAACTCCTTACTATAAATCCATAAAATAATTATTATTATGAATATTAAATAAATGAAAACAGGAAATGAGATTTTTCTTCAAAAAAGAGATGAAGTAGTGAAAAAGAAAAATTGGCAAGGATTAAAAATATATGAGAAAAGGAGTTTATTTTAAAGTCAGGTTTTTAGATTGTTTAAAGAAGTGAAACAAAAGATGAAATAAATACAATACACTTACATTTTGTTGAGTATTACACAGTTGGATTTAAATTCTTAGTATGTTTAGTACTTAAATGCTTAACACTGACAATTCCTAATGGTTTTTAAACTGTCTAGGAATCTCTTAAACTTGAGGATTAATCAATATCAGTATAAGGATATGGAGATTATTAGGTTATTGATTGAGATCGTGAACCGATTGATGCTAAACCACCATTAAAAACCTGTAAGCACTAGATGGCCTTTCTGTCCTGTTGTGAGACTCTCCGGCAGTGCGCATCCACGATCCCGCTCTGAAGATTCGAACCCAGGGCCTTCGGTCTCGCGCACAAACGCTTAACCTCTAGACCACTGAGTCAACATCCAACAGTGTGAGGCATGCTTCCAGGTTACCATGTGTTCACTAGTAAATAGCTTCGTGAGGGTATTCTCTGAGTTCTAGTGGGAAATTGTGACCAATGGAGCTAATCCATATCTCGTAGATATGGGTATCAACCTCAGTACAATCGGACATGGTCGCACGATTTCGTGGATTGGTTGAAGTTAGACATTCACACCGTTGGATGCCGGCCAGCTCAGTAGTCTAGAGGTTAAACGTTCGCGCGTAAGACTAATATGTCATGAGTTCGAATCTCGTGAGGCGGAGTCGTGGATGCGCACTTCTGAGAAGTTCCACAATAGGGTTAAACGACCTTTCAGTGCTTCCAGATTTTCCATAGCGGTCTAGCTTCGATTGATTCATGATTTCAACTATTAAAATTACTATCATATCCATAAAACCTCATCTGATATTTTATAAATGTTGATTTTCAGCTTAACTACAATTCGAATTCATCGAATATATGATTCTGTTTTTTTTTGTTAACATTTTCCATTATACTCCTTTTCTGTTTCTTAAAGTTATGGTGAATATCAATCGGTATCGTTGCCTAATTCATTTCATAGATATTTTCGACATCACTGAATATTTAACAAATTAGTCAAAGAAAGTTTTAAAGCTTCAAACATTTCTCTTTTTTGTAAATTTAATAATTTTAAAATTTATATTTTCATTGGTAACAATTTAAATGGATGCCCGGTTTTTGTATTTTTCCTTTTTTTTTATCCCATTTTTCAATCATTCCGTCTTGTCCAATTAAATGACTAGTTTTACATTCGTTATAATTGGTTATTTATTTATTTATTTTTTTATTAAATTGACGATTTCTTAAATTGGATGATAATATCGTACAAAGTACAAGTTCTGTTGTTTCTCACATTGTCATGGTAATAGATAACATGCTCTTGAATATATTGTATCTGGTAGTGTTTCAATCATTTGAAAGCGTTAAAGAGAGCACCATAAAACTTATGAACTGTGGCAGCATACTGTCACTATGCGATACGTGATTCTCATTTCCATAGAGATCAGAAGTCGTATATTAAATTTGTAGGTTGGAGATATTGGTGTAGAACACTTAGAAGATCCTTACAGACGATTAGACGAAAGAGGTAATTTCATTAGTGTTATTATCTTGTTCATGAAGGACTTCAATGAACACTCAATATCCGGCCTTCATCTTTTGTAAGTTTATTAAAGGTTAGTGGACCGTCTCCGGAAATTTCATCAATTGTTCATGTAGTTTTTGCATTGTAAACGGATTGTCATGTCGTCATGTTTTGGTCTACTGTACACACACTAATGCTGAAGTGAACACAGAAGTGACAGATGGTTACAGTCGGACATCTACCTCACCGACGTTGCTACTGACAATTAAAAAGCATTAAAAATTTATTATATTCCTTGGTAAGGCGTATGTCTGAAGAACGATGTAGTGTTGTCTATAACTCTGTGCATCAAGTGGTTTACGGAAGGATGGGTCCAACACCGTTGACCTTATCTGCAGCAACTGAGTTTCAGATGGAAGCCTCCACTTCCATGGATGTTACAATGCCGTTGATCCAACAGACGACAAGTAGCAACTACCGAACAAACGTCGATCTGCATGCCACATTAAGTAATGACAAAAATGAAATTGTTTCTATAAACTCAGAAGAATTTTGTGACTGAGACAACGACACTGATGAAGATGCCCACGACAACAGACTCTGTGACATCTGCAATCTTGCTTAGCACCAAGTGAAACTGCCGATGGAAGCACTTGGATTTTTTGTCACTGCAATGCAATTACATGAATTCCACTAAACTATGTGTCGCGCGATTTCCAAACCGAGCTGGTGCTGTGATCACCGGGCAAGAGATGCTGAGGTTAGACGCAGTGTATTAGTGAATGATGGTGAATCAGTTGATGAGGTCGTGAATCTTCATCTAATGAGATGGTCGGGCACGTGTTACGTATGCCTGAACACTACGATTACTGCGACACGTAATGCTGACTAGTGTTGGGATTGGTTGGAAGAAAATTAGGGGCGGCCAAAACAAAACGTGTCATTAGTGCTTGAAATCACTAACTTCTAGTCTTAGCCTAGTTGATAGATGCAGACTACTTGGATGGCGTCCGCGTGACTGTCGTAACCAATGGTTGGAGATTCTGGGTGACATGGCTCAGAATCGATCACAGTGGTGTAGTTGCATACACTCTTTGTCTTCCCTTAAACCGTGAGATTAAAATTGCTTCATATCTTTTTCTCTACGAAGTAATTCTTTCTTCCTGTACTATATCCTTATTGCAATCTTTCTTTTATATATTATCACCTCTGAATTAACTACATTTACGAATCCAGTGTCCATATTATTGTTTTAATGAGGTATGGCAACTTGGACCGATGCACATATGTACTTGATCCCACGTTGTAGCTGACTGACTGTGTGGCGCGATTACGGAATCATAGTCACGCCATTGTTCAAGAAAATCTGAACTGTTAGCATACCGATTAAAGGTTCTTTTTAGGACCACCCACAATGTGATTTAAATTCTTTTGTTTCAATTCGTTAAAAAAAACTAATATCAATTAGTTTTTTTAATCTCTTTCTCCATGAAGTCGTTTAACTGTTTCATCTGATAACTCTTATCTTCTATACAACAAGATGTTTTACCTTTTAGTGTTTACTGAAAATTAGTGCGAATACGTCGAAGTTATCATTAACGTTGATTTACTGTACTACATTTGACAACCTTTTAAGTTCAGTAATCACTATTATCAGCCACTAAAGGCAGTTTTTAGTTTTTTCCAAAATTATATTTTAATGATCACATATTATTTCTCTTGTCACCATACCTAACGACTTCAGTTCCATTTCTACTTGATTGAAAGAATTTTGATGGAGTTTTGTTCTCTGAGCTGGATGGTTTAGTCGTTGAGCTTTCATCGTTCTTCTGAACGGCATCATCAGCTCAAACTTCCGGTAGAAATTTATCCTGATATTCATTCACAGAAAGGAGTATAGAAAGGCAGTCAAATAGAATTGGTTTCTCCTTTATTCAGAAATTAAAATTTTTTATCAAAACTCGGATGGAACAGTCAAAGAGAATTATTTATTTAAAATAAAATTCAAATGTAAAGATGCAAGTTCTTAGATCCAATCAAAATACTTGATGCTACTTGGCTTTGAACTAATCAAATTGCAAAACAGCACAGTTTACAGCCAATTAACAAATTATTACAAGTGACATTATGTTTGTTCATTATCAAATGAGCACAACCCTAAAATTTCTCATCAATGGAGTGGTGAGGAATCACAACCGTTGTGCAACTATTGTCAATCATTTAAATGACCTCTTTATTGATATTCTGTACTGAATTTTAGTTGGTCTTTACTGACATATGTGTGTACTTTAAGCATTATTTCGATTATTACTTTTATATTACAAGATCATTTAGAATGTGCATAGATTGTTTCTAGCAGTGGAATCTAGAATTAGTGTGTCATTCTATTCGAGAATTCGTCCAGCACTTCTTAGATTCCATTGTTGAATATAAACTATACGTTGTAAATTTTAAAATTGTATATATTCTTTCATTGGAAACAAGACAAAATGAATTGTATTGGGTCCAATTTGATCGAGAAAATGGTTATATGATTTCCGTCTCTATAATCAGGTAGTGCGATTGCAAGAGTTTAACACTTTAAATACTCGTCCCGTTATAATTGTTAGTTTTCTACCACAATAATAACCGTACAGTCTTATTGCATTTTTTTTACATCCAAAAATAATCGAACAATTCAGGGAGCTATTCTAGCTGCCGTTTCAAGTACAAAATGGGCAAGCTTCTACACTGAGCCGAACATTCTCTCTGATGACGATATTTTAGATGAAGATGATGAAGTCACATCAGCTGGTAAGTCATTGAAACTATTTTTAATCCATGTAGTTTTTATTTGAAGATAAGTTCAATTTATGAAGCTCCACTTATCTCACAGACTATTAAAGTTAACAAGATAAATCATTAAAAACCAAGAAAACACTGGGAAAATGTCTTATCCTGGTGCAAAACTCCTCAGCGATCGATACTTAAAATCTTCTCAAGGATTATTGAATTCTAAAATCTTTAGGTGAACACGTTATATATCTCTTTCGACCATTGGGTTGCCAACTAATAGTTCATATCCATAAACCTTATTCCTTTTGTCGATGGTTTCCAAGCTGAAATCAGTTGATATTAATATGAAATTGTAATGGATTTAATTCTTTCTCACATTTGTTAATAATAAAACTACCAGTAAATAGGATATCATACTAAATGATTTGATGATGTTAGTCTACTTCTGTATTTGTGTTTACTTTACAGTATATTATCATACATTCGTCGACTTGTTTACAGAACAATACATATAAGCGATTAATATTGTTTCTCATTAAATCCTCATCAATTTTATTCTAATATACAGTAATATTTATATGCGATTATGAAAAGATAGTTTATTAGACAATCATAACAACGAAATAGGTTACATAACCAAACATCATGAGTCAAAAGTACAAATTGATCGTTTGACGATTGGTGTACTAGTGGTGATTGTTATAACTTATTGTCTTAGCTTATTGTCTTGGCTCTTTTAATGCTACTTTTTATATCTGGTCGTCGCTGATTGTTATGTCGGAAACGTTTATCACTTATACTAGGAACGAGGGATCTCTGCAATTCCCACAACACAAAAGTAAGAACACAAAGACTGGTATAAGTGATGATTTATTAACCCTAAAACACGACGACGACGATTCTAGTAGAAAATACACTCATTTATCTATTGATTGTACACCCATTTTGATTAATAATTAGGATGAAATCACATATATGAAAAATACTTAGAGTTATAACAAACCACATACAGAGCATAGTTCATGTCATTGGAATACAAGAATATCGTATATTATACAGAATAAAAAGGTCATAGGGGATAACAGTAGCAAATACTACATTGAGTAATCATTACATTGAATCAAAACGGAAGGTAGTCTTGAACAAAACTTTTAATGAGTAAATCAATTGAAAACTGACTTGTCTTTCCATCATATCAGTGATAAGAATGAGAAAGGCTTGAATTACTGTTTCGTAGTAGAAAAATCTCCACCTGGAGCCTCTCTGGGGCTACTACCGGTCCCAAGCACGGATAAAAAAGGAGGGTTGGGCATGGGGTTAGCGACTCCATCCCGTAGAAAACGAACTCGCTAAAAATAACACTAACCAGTACAAAAATCAAAGACTTAGAGAAATAGACAGTTAAATATCATTCATTAAAGATTTTTACAGTTACGGAATTAGAAGTGTTCAAATAGTTAGTGAAAAATGTATACAGAACAGACGTGAAGAAAAAGAATCAAACATAAGATATGGATAACATTAACTAGTAAAATTGTTTGTGAAGCCTTACTCGACCAAGAAAGAGATAAGTGTTACAAATTTTTTTGAGAATATGAAAACTGTAGTTGTTAGCTCAAAAGAAAGCATCTCGATTTTGTTTGGTAAATGGAGATTTTACGAAATATTTACCAGATATTGATAACTCAACCAACATTGTCGCAAATCTTCAAGCGAAAACAAGTCCAAGTCTCTTGTTTACGAAAATATACTCTCAAATTGCACATTCATATCTAGTCGGATTGTTTCTCATCTATAGATTACTAATGAAACGTTGAAAAACGTAAGGTTATAACACTTTACGAAATTCTATTAGGATAAAATCAAAGACCTATAATACAACAAAATGATTTTTTCACTTAATTATAGTTTTTTTAATGGTTGAACTCATGAGTTAGTTGAAGCTAGACCACCATGGAGAACCTATAAGCACTAGACGGCTAGTTTGTCCTATTGAAGGACTCCTCAGAAGTGCGCATCCACGATCCCACCCTGTGGAATTCGAACCCAGGACCTATTGGTTTCGCGCGCGAACTCTTAACTTCTAAACCAGTGAGTCAGCCGGCATCCAACAGTGTTAATTCCGAACTTCAACCAATCCACGGAATTTTTTTATCAAGTTGTATAATCACTTACATAAAAGACAATAAAATTGTTAGATATGGGATATAATCATGATATCGTATTGATAAACATTGTACTACATTATAAATAATCTATGTTTGCTCAACTTCGTCAAGCTGATGTATGTATGTATGCCTTTCAATGTGTGGTGATGTAAGCTAATTAAAAAAAAATAAATGTATAATATTTGATCTCATTTAGTAAAGATCTAAACATTAAAGAGATCAGTTGAAATGATAGCTGGAACAATGAAGAATAAACAAAATTAAAAGGATACAAAAAGTTATTAAGGAACATGGGCAAATTTCGGTGAAACTCTAATTTATGGACGACCTTTGAACGAATTTTTATGTGACCTTGAGTACATTAGCCAATCAGAAGAGAGTTAGTATAAAGTAAAAATATATTATAAAAGTGTGATGAATTACAATGGATATTCTTCTTTTACATTATTTGAGAACTTGTTGAGGTTTGATATAGGTTCAGAAGTTTCGAAATCATAGTGCATGCGGTATAAGAACTCGTCCATATGACTCTATGATAATCGTCCTCTGGAGCCGTGGTAGGGTTTTAAAGAATACTTCAGCCTAGACCACATGCCCTCAATGTTGTTTGTATGGACTCCCCGTCGTTGGATCAAAGAAATGACGTTTGTACACCACTATATGATGCACAAAACCAAGTCTGGAGAGGCATCTATACGCTTTCCAAACATCGGTATAGCCGCAGCTAATGTTACTGGAGACTTTATGATCCAATTTGCAACGATTATCATGGTTTGTCTTAGCCTTAGCCGTGACCGAGTAAAAAAAGTGCCAGTTCGAGCAGATTTTTTTCTACAACATATAGTACAACGAAATACAATGTCATCGCGGCAGTCTGCACATCGTGCTGCGGTCATTTAATTGCCGCAGTCACAGACACAAGAACTTCCTAATAGTCCCATCTACTGTAGTCTCTCAACGATCACCTATTCTCTAAAATCTGCTGTAAAACGATCGAATGTGAGCATCCCGCACTGAACTTAGCGCCATGACCTTGAAATTCCTTAAACGCTTCTGATTGGCTCGTCCATAAATTAGAGTCCTACCCAAATTTCAAATATAAGCCTAAGTGTAATGAAAATATTAGCTGTGATATCAGTAATAATGTATTAAAACCAATATAAAGACAGATTAAAATAGGATATATTTTCTTTGAATATACAGTTTATGTTTCATTTCATGGAATAACCAATGCTTCTACTATATTTTAACGTTCAAAAGAAACAAATGTTTACTAGAATTCTAACACTATACAAATCAATATATGACTTAGTGAAGTGATTAAAGGGTTATAAGTTGTTGAAGAATCGAACTCTTGATAATAATAAAAATGAAACATCTAAATAGAGCATTATTATTTCTTATGATCACAATCAATATCAAGTTTGTATATTGTATTTAACAATGGTAAAGATTTGTTGTTTAGGATGATGAATAATGATGGAGTTTCGTTCCCTAATCTATGTAATTTAATTGTGCAGTAAGTTTTTATAATCTTTCTAGACAACAACATTGTCATTATCTTTAGGCCAAAGTAAGCTATAAGAATTTCTTCACATATTATAGGATAAAAGTCAATAATAACTAATCATATTTAAGGTTTAAAGAAAAACAAGGGTAATAATATTTGCAGAATACGACGAATTCATTAAACTTCCTTGCTTTCTTGTCAACTACACACTACTTACTTACTTACTTACTTAGACCTATTACTCCCAGTGGAGAATAGGCCGCCGATCAGCAACTACACATATCAGTTAATGTATTTAATTATTTCGAATTATTGACATAATTTGAGATTACAAAATAGTGAAATGTAGTGATAAACATACGCTTTGTGTTACAGTGCTATAATCAACACTAGAATTCAAGTATATTTATGTGACAAACATCGGTGTATACACTCTCTGTTTTCCCTTAAACTAAGAAATTAAAAGCGCTTCATATCTTTCTTTCTACGAACGAATTCTTTCTTCCTGTACTATATCCTTATTGCAGTCTTTCTTATATATATTACCACCTCTGAATTAACTGCTTTTATGAATCAGGTATTCATCTTGTTGTGTTAATGAGAGGTGGCAACTTGGACCGATACATTTATGTGCCTGGTCTAACGTTGTAGCTGACTGACTGACTGACAAGCATCTAGGAAGGCGAAACCTATGATCCAGATTCACTACTGTTAACTACAATTAAAGTATATTAAAAGAAAATATCTACTGGGTTGACAAGTTATCACAGTTAACTCTAATAAAACTAATTTTTCTAAGTTCATTTTATTAATTTTTGCTAACTTTTCCAATTTATACTTTTATTGTTTAACTCAATAATTGAAATAGCTGTTAGTGCTGTATTAGACAGTTTTGAAGAGATGCAATGTCTTACAGAATGTTTTGAAAAAGATTCTGATCTATTTCAACCAGTATTTGAAGATGAACATTTACATTGTTTATTAGAGGTAAATTTCTTTTCAAAATCCTTTATTCACTAATCAACAATTCAGTAGTATACATATGTATATGTCTTTATTTGAATCATAGTATACTTGTAGACGCAATTGTGTGACATAATTGGTGGGTTTTTGTTGTGTTTGTGTTCGACTGCCTATAATACGATCTATCCTCCAGTTGGTCGTGTCTGATCTCACTGATATCAAATAAAGGCTAAATATAATATGTTTCTTTTGAGCACAAAACAGAAACTGATATATATTGTAGAGATTTGAGCAGTTCAGTCATATTTAAGTCTCCACTCTGTGCCCAAAACATTCTTGTGTAGTCAATCATTCTATCATGATCTCATTGTACTTCTTGTTCAGTTATAATTAAATAAACAATATCGTTTATATTTTCTAATTAAATGTAAAATAAAATAAAATTTTCTGATTGAACTTGTGGCCAATTTTTGTTCACATGAAGTCATGAAGAGGATAGTTTGGAACATACTCTAAGATGGTCAACCTAATCAGACAAGCTATACAGCAGCAATAACTTAACTTTTAGTGTTTAGTTCAAGGATAATCTGTGCAATATTGCGTATGCGCCTAATTCATAGGGATCAAAACGATGAGAAACCAGTTTATAATATTTTCATAGGTCAATTTAAATCACTTGAACTTCTCATGCTTTCCAATATAGTATAGTAATAGGATATAAGAAACTTAAATTCTCCCTTTAGGATGTTGATTTTAGTACATACGTTCGTTCTTCAAATGATTATTATACAACAAGAAAAATATCTATACAGGTGGCTGTGAGACGTCTATTAACAATGAGTAATTCTTCACATATCAAATATCTGTGAGTTTCTCAATTTGAAAACATGTGATATTATCAGTGTAAGGTTGTTGAGATTGAGTTTTAATTGAAATCATAAACCGACCACATTTGAAAACCTGGAAGTATTGGACGGTCTTTTTGTTTCAGTATGGAACCGTTCAGCAGTGCGCATCCAAGGTCTGTATTCGAACCAAGAACCTTCGGCCTCGCGCGTAAACGCTTAATCTATAGACCACTGAGACGGCAACCAACGTTGTCAGCCCCTAACTGCCCCAAATTTGACACGTCTCTGGCTCAGTGGCCTAGAGGTCAAACGTTCGCGTACGAGACCGAAGGCCCTAGGTTCGAATCTTGTTCCTGTGTCGTTGTTTTTCCACTAAAGAAAAAATGTCTGCAGAGCTTTTGTTCTATTATCTCATTATCATTGATCTCAATTGTTGCTATTCATTTTTTTCAACTTTCATTGTTTATTTTCACAGCTCTATGATCATATTAACACACATTCACCAGGCAGTGATTTTCATGTTCCTGCTGATGCAACAGAAATTTGGGCTAAAGTGTGTTTTACTGTTATTTTTATATATACAAACAATGATTATTGATAACTTATGTAAAATGTATGATTTGTCTGGTTTTCAAATTCTATCAAAGTAATTTTGATGCTGTTGAATTTCTTTAATTGGATAATTCACTTTTATGAGCACCTAACGTAATATTATTTGTTTGAAACCATAAGAATTTCGTCATAAATCAAACATTTACTAGAGAATAATTTTCATTTCTCTATAAGTGTTTTCATCATCCAGTTCTACTAATGAGTGTAAAACGTAGACCACCAATTAAGTTGTCAAATATCGGATACAGAAATACCAATATTTCATCGTCATCCAAAAGGCGAGATTGCCGAAGTTACTTAGACCACGATACCTATCCACGTTAAACACGACAACCAACATATTAACTAGATAACATATGACAACAAAGAAGCATTCTCAAAATATCTGCTCGGTATTCTGGATTAAATTCACACACATGAATATTTCTTGTGATTGAACTCAAGATTGTTAGGGTATGGATATGTAGCCTCAGTCTCAAACGTTGAATTTTAAATCAGATAGTTTAACTTGTCATCTATCTATCTATATATATATATATTCATGCTGGGATTCATTCTTTTTGCTTACTGTTGTTGTTCATAGTCATTATAGGCCCTAACGCAAAGGTGTTTCGATTCATGTTGCCATACCTTACATTAGCAATCAGATACAATTAGCAACATGAAAATCAGATAAATAGAAATAATATTAGCTTCAGCAGAGACATAATTTGCTCATTATAATTATTTGACAGGATGTATATACTATTTGACACAACTTAAAAAAATTAGTACAGGGTTGTGGAGATTGTTAAGTTTTTGATTGAGATCATGAAGGGATTGATGTTAGATCACCGTTGAAAACCTGGAAGCACTGGATGTCCGTTTCGTTTTATTGTGGAACTCCTCAGCAGTGCGCATCCCCGGTTCCGCTGGCGGGGTTCATGAATCTCAACTCGAGAGTCGAACCCATAGCTTTTGATCACTTGTTACTCTTGAAGTTGATTATTTTCTTATGTCATCTAGTAAAACTTTTTGTAAATCAATATTTTAGCCTTATCTTTATATTCATTTTTATAAAATACTAATATCAAGAGGTATTTCCAGGAGTTCTAGTGAGAAGCAGTGACCAGTGGATTTCAACTGGGTCTGTTGTGAAATAGTAACTCACTGAAGACAATGGTTGATGTGTCGCTGAATTTCATGGACTGGCTGAAGTTAAACATTAACACCGTTGAATACCGGATCAGTGGACTAGAGGTTAAACGTTCGTGCGCGAGACCTGGGTTCAAATTTCGTGGGGCGGAATCGTGAATGCACACTACCTAGGAGTCCCCTTCTTGTACTAATATCAATTCATAATGCAAACTCAATTTAATTATAAAGAATATCGTTTTATTTTTATCAGATTTCTATTTTCCTCGTGTATTTTTTCTAAATTAAAATTTTATTTTAACAAATCAGATATTAACAGAATTATCCGTATTGAATAAGACAGAAATGATGTCAACTGTTGAAGAATTAAAATTTTATATGAAACAACCTCACTTTCGTGTAAGTGATTCATTTATTTTTATTTTGTATATAATTAATAAAACCCTTAACATTAAGCAATGGAAATTATACAAATAATCATTTGAGTCAATTTAAATATTGTAGTGAAGTTGAAATACTTTAGATAAACTAACTTACTTATGCCTGTTACTCCTGGTGAAGGAGCATAGGCCGCCCACCCGCACTCTCTATCCAACCCTGTCCTGGGCAATACTTTCCAGTTCTTTCCAGTTGCTATTCATCCTCTTCATATTGGCTTCTATTTCCCGATGTAATGTATTATTTGACCTTCCTCTTTTCCGCTTCCCTTCAAGGTTACAAGTTAGGGCTTGTCTCGTGGTGCAGTTTGGTGATTTCCTCAATGTATATCCTATCCATTTCCATTGTCTTTTCCTAATTTCCTCCTTAGCTGGAAGCTGGTTTGTTCTCTTCCACAGTAGGCTGTTGTTGTTGATGGTATCCGACCAATGGATGTTGATTATCTTGCGTAGACATGTATTTATAAATACTCGTACATTCTTGATGATAGTTCTCCAAATTTGAGCTTCATATATTAGAACTTTCTTGACGTTGGTATTGTTGATTGTGACTTTGATGTTAGTTGAAAGTTTGCAATGACCCAGGTGCATCTAATCTTTGTGTTCTCCCGAATTCTAATTTCCTGAATCCTCCTTGCCTCTCTTTTTTCTCTTTCCAAATTTATTTCACTGGATTGTACTCCTTGAATAATATCTTCAAATGCTAATCTTTCCGATTACTACTTATACTCTTACTACCTCTACCACTACGGGATTTGAATCAACAACTGCATCTCTGATCTAATGTGGTATGGCAACTCGAACTGATGTACGTACTTACGAAGTTCTACGTTGTTACTGAATGACTCAATTGTAGGAATGTGACCCTTGCTTTGCCAATCCATGACTTTACATCTGTACCATATCCCCCTTGTTCATCGATGATGCTTCCCAGGTATGTGGATGATTCCACATCTCCCAGAATTTCGTCATCAAGAGTGATTGGATTACTGTTCTCCGTGTTGTATTTGAGGAACTTGGTTTTCCTCTTGTGTATATTTAGGCATAATGATGCAGAGACTGCTGCTACAATGGCTGTCTTTATCTGCATTTTTTTATGTGTATGCGATAGCAGGGCTAGGTCATCTGAGAAGTCCAAATCGTCTACTTGGTTCTGAGCTGTCCATTGTATTCCGTGTTCTCCCTCAGATGCCAAGGTCTTCCTAATCCAATCGACCATCCGAAGTAAGAGGAAGAAGGAGAGTAAACAGCCTTGTCTGACTCCGGTCCTTACTTGAAATACATCTGTCAGCTGACCTCCGTACACGACTTTGCACTGTATTCCGTCGTATGAGTTCCGGATAATGTTGTTGACAATCTTCTCAGGAACTCCATAGTGTTGAAGAAGTTTCCATGATTTTCTCCTGTCCACACTGCCAAATACTTTTTCATAATCGATGAAGTTGATGTATAGTGGCGAGTTCACTGAACTGATTGTTCGACGATGGTCGTAGTGTCGCAATTTGGTCTGTGCATGTTCGATCCTTACGGAATCCAGCTTGTTGATCTCGAAATCGGGCGCCTACTGCGTCTTTCATCCGATTCAGCAACACTCTGTCGAAGACTTTTCCTGGTATTGACAGTAGTGTAATGCCTCTGTAGTTTTCACATTTGCTGAGGTCTCCTTTCTTTGGAATCTTGATGAGGTGTCTTTCTTTTCAGTCCATCGGCACTTGTTCCTCCTCCCAAATCTTTTTGAATAGAAGGTAAAGCATGCTTGTAGTTACTTCGATGTCTGACTTCAGTGTTTTGGCTGGTATAATACCAGGTTTTTCTGCTTCCCCGCTCTTGATTTGTCTGATGGCCATTCTGATTTCTTCCGTCGTTGGTGGAGTGACATCGATAGGAAGGTCTGTGTAGATAAACTAAATCTATTCAAAATTGTACGTCGAAATTTTTCAAAACCTGCTTTTATTCATATGGGGACTTGTGGAGATCGTGATATTTTCACATTATAAATTAATAGACGATCTAAATTAGACAACTATTGCGAGTCTGGAAGCACTGGAAAGTTGATTCATTCTAGTGTGGGCCTCTTAGCAGTGCGCACACATGATCGCGCACGTGGGATTCGGTCTCAAGACCTTTGATCTTACGTTTGTGTTATTAGGTTTTTATTTATGGTCTAGCTTTGGTCAATTCATGATTTTAACAGTGAAAATAAACGTTTTTATTTTATACTTCCATTGGTTAACTAATTATGCTCAGTAACCGTGTATATTTACTGGCTTTCATAAAATGTTCAAAACTTCACCTAAATCTAATTATTGAGATGAAATACCCCCACAATAGTCCCTGTATTTTCCTCTTCATACATTGTCACTAGAAAAAAATTGATAGAACTCACAAATCCAATATATTCAGCCATCTCATGTGATCAACGTTAATTGTAAACATTTACAGATGACTACAAATAATAGCTAATCCCTGCTGCTCCGGCAACATCGGTCAGACTGTCCTGCCCTCCATGGCCGGTGACGACTGATCCACCAAATGAGGAGGAAGTCCGCAAGGAACTCCAACTCTTGAAGCGTTACAAATCACCTGGCCCAGATGACTTACCTCCGGCTCTTTTTAAAGATGGTGGTGACTTTTTGACTAAGGAATTGACGACGTTGTTCACAAAGGTTTGGGAACTAGAGAGTGTGCCAACGTCATGGAATGAGTCGATAGTTGTCCCTATCTTTAAAAAGGGTTCACGTCGTTCCTGTAACAACTACCGGGGGATAAGTTTACTTCCGATTGCGTCCAAGCTATTGGCTTCCGTCATTCTTCGTAGGTTGTTCAAAACCCGAGAAAGATTGACTCGCGAGGAGCAGGCTGGGTTTCGTTCTGGTCGAGGATGTATTGATCATATCTTCACCCTCCGCCAAATGTTAGAACACCGCCATACTTTTCAAAGGCCAACAATCGTAGTGTTTCTTGACATCAGGGCTGCGTTCGATTCGTTGGATAGGACTGTTCTCTGGGATTGTCTATTGAAGAAGGGTGTGCCTGAGAAGTTTATTAACATCCTAAAAGCCCTGTATAAAAACACCTCAGGCAGAGTGAGGGCATACAACCACCTCTCTCCATTGTTCCATTCGAGCAGTGGGGTTAGGCAGGGTTGCCCAATCTCACCATTCCTCTTCAACTTTGCCATCGATGACATTCTGGAAACAGCTCTGATGAATGTAAGTAATGGTGGTGTGGATCTGTTGCCTGGAGAAAGACTTCTCGACCTTGAGTATGCGGACGATATTGTCTTACTGTGCGATAATGCCCAAGGCATGCAATCCGCACTTAATCAGTTGGCAATCAATGTCCGTAGGTATGGTATGTGCTTTGCACCTTCGAAGTGCAAAGTACTTCTACAAGACTGGCAGGATTCTAATCCTGTACTCACCCTGGACGGTGAGCAGATAGACGTAGTTGAGAAGTTCGTGTATCTGGGTAGCTGCATAAGTGCTGGTGGGGGTGTGAGTGATGAGATCAATGCACGAATAGTGAAAGCCAGAGCGGCTTATGCCAATCTGGGCCACCTTTGGCGCCTTCGTGATGTTAGTCTGGCTGTAAAAGGCCGGATCTACAACGCGTCGGTGAGAGCAGTTTTGCTCTATGCTTGTGAAACCTGGCCTCTCGGAGTTGAGGACGTTAGACGACTCTCTGTGTTCGATCATCGCTGTCTCCGAAGGATTGCTGACATTCAGTGGCAACACCAAGTCAGTAATGCAGAGGTTCGGCATCGTGTGTTCGGGCACAGAGATGATAACTCAATTGGTGTCACCATCTTGAAACACCGACTTCGGTGGCTTGGACATGTTCTCCGAATGTCGTCCCAGAGAATTCCACGTCGTGCATTATTTGCCGACTCTGGGACTGGTTGGAAGAAGCGGAGAGGTGGTCAGTGTATGACGTGGTGTCGTGGCATAAAAGGAAGCTGCAAAGGAATGGCTTGTGTTGGTCCTTCACGACTCCCTGGTTGGGGTCCGAGAGATGGTGCTACACAGTGGCTAGAGACGTTATCAGATATGGCTCAGAATAGAAGCCAGTGGCGATCCTGCTGTAACCTTCTTTTACTTTCTTCATAAAAGGTGGTTGTGTCTCCTTTACCTGAAAGATTTCTTCTGATTGTACCTCTTCGTCATTACTCTTTTTTTCTTTTGCGTTCCTTAGTTTTTTTTTCTTTCTACTTCTCTTCGAATTCCCATTGTTTTGTGTGGCGCATATATATTGGCGCTCTCTTGTACCAATATTTATGTGTTCAAATAAATAAATAAATAAATAATCCCTATTTACAAATTGAATTATGCAATTATCAATATTAAATTATAGACTCCAAAAGCCCTCGTAATACAAACGGGTATCAAAGAATAAAATATATGACCAGTAAAAACAATGCAACTTAATGTTTTCTCGTACTGAATTTATATATAACATAATAATGAACATGACTAGACACGGTACTCAAACTATCAATAATTGTGAAATATCGGTTTTGTTGTGATAGAACATAATTCACCATTCAATGAACTGAATGCTTAATTAGTATACTTACATATTACCATCTATATCAGAAACAAAAATTATTCAAAGGACACCGTCTTCATAAATTCTGTATGACCGTTTGAGCTATCTTTGTGTGATAGTGTGTTGGATAATCAATCTTTTTCATTTATGAAAACTCTAGTCTCTTTATACAATCCTTATTCAACTGTAAAAAAAATCCGTCAAAACGTTGCAATATATAACTGCACAATGAATCAATTGATGTTAGACCACCATTGAAAAACTGGAAGCACTGGAAGGCTGTTTCGTCCTACTATGTGACTAAGCAGTGCGCATCCACGATCCCGCTGGCGGGATTCGAACCCAGGACCTTCGGTCTCATTTTAACTTTCTTCCATACACTGTTAGAAGTTTCTAATATCTAAATACAAATGATTAATTGCTGCATTTTATAGTGTAAATCACGGAGTAATCTTATTTACACAAATAATAAAAATCTAAAAACACTGAACAGCGATCCCGTACTGGTATTGGTTTCCTCAGCAGTGCTCATCCACGACGTTATATCAAGGAATCGAATGCAGGATCTTTGATCTTGCTCCCGGACGCTTATGTTCTAAACCACAGAGTCGGCAACTGACTTGTTAACATCTAACTTCAACAAGTTTGCAATGGTTAAACGTTCGTGTACGAAACCGAATGCACTAGATTCGACTCCCGGATGCTGGGTTGCAGACGTAGTCTTCTAAGGAGTCCAGTACCAGGATAAGACGTTCATCGAATACTTCGAGATCTCCGATAATGATTTACTTAAGATCCACAAACCTCCTTACTTACTTACTTACTTACTTATTTACGCCTGTTACTCCTAATGGAGCATAGACCGCCGACCAGCATTTTCCAACCCAGTCTGTCCTGAGCCTTCCTTTGCCGTTCTGTCCGATTTGTGTTCATTTTCCATAGGTCTATTTCCATTTCTCGTCGTAATATGTTCTTTGGTCTTCCTCTCTTCTTTTGGCTTTGAGGACATCAAGTGAGGAATTGCCTTGTGATGCAAATGGATGCTTTCCATAATGTTTGTCCTATCCACTTCCAGCGCTTCTTCCTGATTTATTTCTCCGCTGGGATCTGGTTTGTTTTCTCCCACAGTTGGTTGTTGCTAATAGTGTCCGGCCAACGAATCCGAAGTATTTTGCGTAGACAACTGTTAATAAACACCTGTATTTTCTGGATGATGGCTTTCGTAGTTCTCCAGGTTTCTGCCCCATTCAGTAGAACTGTCTTGACATTTGTATTGAAAATCCTGACCTTGGTATTGATTGACAGTTGTTTTGAGTTCCAGATGTTCCTCAGTTGTAAATATGCTGCTCTTGCTTTGCCGATCCGCGCCTTCACATCTGCATCAGATCCACCGTGTTCATCAGTGATGCTGCCCAGATATGTAAACGTTTTTACATCTCCCAAATCTTCTCAGTCAATTGTGACTGGATTGGTGCGTGCTGTGTATGCCTGGTATTCAGAGAAGAGTGATGCCCCTGTAGTTATCACAGATGCTGAGATCGCCTTTCTTCGGTATTTTGATCAGACGTCCTTCTTTCCAGTCTGTTGGTACCTGTTCCTCATCCCAAATCTTAGTGAAGAGAATGTGGAGTATCCTTGCAGCTGCCGCTACGTCTGCTTCTAGTGCCTCTGCTGGGATGTTGTCCGGTCCTGCTGCTTTGCCACTCTTGATTTGTCTGATGGCCATGCTTATCTCTTCAATTGTTGGTGGGCTAACATTGATTGGGAAGTCCGTGGGTGCTGCTTCGATGTTGGGTGGGTTCAGTCGAGCTGGTCGTTTCAAGAGTTCTTTGAAGTGTTCTACCCACCTGTTTTGTTGCTCTTCAATGTTGGTGATTACTTCGCCTTTCTTGCTTTTCACTGGTCGTTCAGGTTTGCGGCGATTTCCAGAGAGTTTCTTTGTTATGTCATAGAGTTGTCTCATATTTCCTTCTCTTGCAGCCTTTTCCGCCGTCATTGCTAAATCTTCCACATATTTACATTTGTCGGTTCTGATGCTCCTCTTCACTTGTTTGTTTACTTCTGTGTATTCAGCTTGTGCCTTGGCTTTTTCCGCTCTTGTTCGACTGGTATTGATTGCTGCCTTCTTGTTCCTCCTTTATTGAATCTTATCCAGTGTACCAACAGTGATCCATTCCTTGTGGTGGTGCATCTTGTGACCCAGGACCTCATGACATGTTGAAGTGCTTGCCTCTTTGATCCCCTTCCAGTTGCTCTCCACAGTAGTTCTTTCTCCATTGAGTAGATCATGAAAGGCCTGGAACTTGTTGCTGAGGACTATCTTGAATTTGTTGAGTTTGTTAGTATCCTGAAGAAAGGCCGTATTGAACTTTTGTGATATTGTCCGCCCCGTTGTCCAGTGTTTCTTGAGTTTCAATTTCATCTTGGCGACCAGCAAGTGATGATCTGATGCTATATTAGCTCCTCTTTTGGTTCTCACGTCCTCTATAGTCCTCCTGAATGTTTTGTTGATGCAAATATGGTTTTCCAAAACTTATGAACTTGAATGGTTCGATTTGAAATATGGTTTATATTAATCTCGTTATGAAGCATTTACCAAGAAGGACCTGACATACATGACATTGATCACTACCCAGTGATCAATCAATTGTAAATATATCTCAGTTCTACAGGAGGTCATTCGCGGCCTGGATAGCTCAGGTCCACGGTTTTCTGTTGACTATCTCCAATTACCATCTTATCTCAACATAGTGAACACAATGTCGAGTCACCTAGACTAGTGGGATACATTGCAACTTGGTCGATAGGATTCGATCTGCACTAAGAAGGACCTGACTGATATAAAGTTGATCATCACCCAGTGATAAATCAATAGTAAAAGTATTTACTTCTCTTAGAATCTCAGTCAGTTATTGACATTCTATTTTGCTATATCATTTTATATTCATTGCGTTTATTAATAAATTTGAAAATGGTTCTAGTCAAATAATCATTAAATACCTCTTTATATCTTCATCAAACAATATATATCAACAATATAATATCAACAATATATATCAAACAATATAACTCATGTTGTGGTTCTTTCATATGAGGCTTTGGTAAATGAAATGACTTAATTTACAAAGATTTTACCCCTCTCAAAATCTTATTAATTGAATGTTCAATAATTTCAGTATACAGTTTCCATTATTATCATTATATCTATTAATATGATAAAAATTTTGTTATTTCAGGCATTATTACAAACGTATGATGTAATAGCTCAAGAAGTTTATGGCCCTGAAGCTATTCGTGTCACTCCACCACCATTGTCATCATTTTTAAATGGTGATGAAGATGATCATATGGAATCAGATACAGATCAACCACAAGTAACACGTGTACGTTTGGTACAATTTCAAAAGAATACAGATGAACCAATGGTAAGAAATTAAAAGAGATAAATTTCATTTATAAACAAATCCAATTTTTGAAACTAATAAAACTCGCTGGTCGAGAAGCTTTGTAGCTGAGGTGGATGATTTTGATAGAGTTTTGTTCTCTGAGCTGGATAGTTTGGTCGTGAAGCTTTCATCGTTCTTCTGAACGACATCATCAGCACAAACTTCAACGTCAAAGTGTACAGGACAAACTGTGAAACGCATATAGCGAAATTCAAACACTTCACTTCTATCTGAAGTTTGTGCTGAAATATTCATTCTAGTCATAACTACGCATTAGGGTGCGCCACTGCCCGTGTGCTCAAACCGAAACTGATGATTTCCTTAAGGGGCCACAACCGGAGCCTTTGACCCAAAGATTTGATCCATAAAGCGATGGAGAGACGTCAGGAGATGCAGTCTCATGGTAGCCAGTGACCAACAATAGGATCCTTCAGGATACTGGAGCCCATGTGCACCATTGGTTTGAAATCAGGGTTTTCTAACTTTCCTAGGTGAATCCACCATATTCACCAACCCGGTTAAAGTGCCGGACATACAATTTCGTAAATAGCATCCTCGCCGTGAGAAGGCAGTGAGTAGGATTTCGCTAGCAGTGGTTGTGTGCACGTGGCCTTGTGAGAGCATTTCAAGAGGAAGAGCTGAGTTTCCCCACTCTCGGCCGTATCAGAGCATAACTCGAATGATTTATGCGGCTCATATCTATTTGATGTCTCCTTGTACCAATGTTTATATGTTTAGATAAATAAATCAATAAACACATTAGGGTTAAGTAATGGCTATTCATAAATTATGCATTTCACAAATACATGTTGATTAAAAAGATTTCAAAAGAATTTAACACTGAACTTTTACCACTCAAAATATCTAGTTTTATGGATTTTAAGTTTGATATGTCGAAGCTGAAAGTTCCCATTTTTCAACACTCTTTCGATAAAAAATAAATCATTGATCTTGTCTCATAATTTAGCAGTTATATAATAAACCCTTGTGGGCCAGGGTAATTTTACATTGGTTTTCAGGAGAACCAGACACCATCCAAACTTTCACGTGTCAACCCAAACAGTACAGCTCAACCCCGTTTAGCAGGAGAAACAGATACCGTATAGGCTTTAACTCTACAATCTGAATAGCACAGCACAATCCTGTGGCGCAGCCACACAGGTATCAAGCACCCTGGCTTCAGTACCGGGTTGGGCACCCGGGCAGTATCACAGCCCTCACACATATCGAATGAGATTTATGTGGCGCATATGTGTTTGGTGCCTCCTTGTACCAATATCTATGTGTTAAAATAAATAAATAAATAAGTAAATAGATAATCTTGCATCCACAACTTCGTAAAACGTGTAGTCACTAACTAACTTTATAAAGCTTTTTTTAATTAGTACTTCATGACAAGTTTTATTTCACGTTTAAAAATGTTTATAAAAAAAGCATAAGTGTTAGGTCCCGATAAACATGATGATTGTTAACTTTGAAATCCTTTTATGGACCAATACTAAACATATTTTTATCGTATAATTGTTAAATAACTAAACAATTCATAATCATATTCCTCTTATTATAAACTTTATTTTGACCCAAGGACTACTGTTATACGACTTACTGTTATACCCAGTCTATTAATTATTATCTCCCACATTCACAGCTACATTTGGCCAAATTTTGTACAAATGTTATTTTCTATGTTATGGTTCGATGTGGCCTGTTTGATTAGTATATAAACTCAGTATGTTTGAAATATTGTGATTCATATTGCAGAGACTGAGACTGGTGTTCTGGACTTAACTGACTGGGCTAGGCGGCAAGCAGGACCAATCAGGACTCTAGGCTGCTCGCACGTGTTTTACGCGTCCTTGGCCGATCGACTATTCGCTGCTTCTGATTGGCGGCTTTGGGCCATAACAATAAGTTACATTGTCATCTTCAGTAGAGCTTCACAATGTCTGGTCACATTTCAAACAAATATCAATGTTGAATAATGTGATTTGACAATAACATTGATATTTTGAAAGCATAAATTGTACTTCATTTTTTTGTAATTTAATACCATACCTATGAAGAAGTTAGTTCTATCACTAAGAGTCCAACATAAGAATAATGACTTATACTTTTGGATCAAGCCAATATTAACACGCCAACATCCGTTTGTATGATCATTTTTCATCATTCAATGGCTAAAATACACACACATACACACTTACCTCTACTTTGTGTACTTGTTACAGTGACTTCATTGAAATGATTATTATTTCATGATCTGATTGAAATGGAAAAACCCTTATATCCCATTTACCACAACTTTTCCATTGATTATTTAAGGTCAATTGTTTTATTTTCCTTCAACAATTTATTTTGCTGTAATTTAAGGTTATGTGAACAATATTTAATCAGTAATATTTGTCCCTACAAGAGCTTTTCTCTCTCTTTTTCGAGACAGTAAACGTTTTCGTACCGAAACTAGTCCATATTTTCTTCTGTGTGTGTGTACCAATGAGCGTTTTGGGATTATTAATGACACTTGTGTAAATGTTATCATTGTATTAGTTGTGTAGTAGAAGTGACCGTAGTCATTTGCTCATACAATCCCCAAAAAATGAATCTATACTCCTTTTCAACATTTATGCGAATGGTTGACTGAAATAGGGGTAGGTTAAGCAAAAGCCAGCAAATTAAAATGTAATATCAGTTCATGAAGTCATCGACTGTTAATCCTAGACGTGTTGGTAAGTACAAAACATCTTATTAGCTTCCTTTTGATAACTACGATCGATGGTTGGGGACGTTGGTTGAAATGGCTACAAATTAGCCACAATTGTTTACATGAATTCACTTTTTATCTTTCTGTCAATTTTCAGTTTCAGTATTTCTTGTTACACACCTTGTCATTCTTTCTTCAGCAACCATAGTCTCAATGTCCAATCTTTCCTACCATTATTCTTACTGTATCACATAGATCTGTTTTGTTACTCATCTTCCTAAATTTCTATCGTTATATTGATGTGGTATAGGAACTTGGGTTAATCGACGAAGCTTTATGTAATTTGACAAACTTAATTAATCAAGTGCATAACTTAGTCAGTAGAGTTGTAAGGAAATGTCGAATATCTCAACATTTTCCATTGACTTTTATCTTGGATGATCACTTGATCAGATGTAAGTTGAAAATGCAAAGATATGAAAATGACGAAAACTTTAAAATAACACTGGCGGATTGCTTGAATACTTGGGCTACCTGTTACTGTCATATAGATACTTCAGCAAGTAATCTGTTTTTGTTTGTTTTATCACATCATTATGTCTACCAATCACATAGGCTATTCATCTGCATTTATGAAAGGTTTACGACCTTTCTCTGTACAAGTTACAAAATAGTGCAATCCGAAACATCGCGGTGGTAGGCAATATGCATTAGAATGAATGAACATTATTCAGATGTCGATTCCTAACTTGCTAACATCACTCGATATTTATCGTCAGGATCGATCAAGAAATAAGAAGATGAAACCTGTTGAAATACTTTGCTTGAAATTCTTGATTATACCAAAAATATAATATTGAATAAAGCCATTAATAATAATAATAACTATAATAATAATAATAAAGGAATAATCAGTTTTGACTGTGGAGATTGTTGAGTTTCGATTGAGACGATGAATCGATCAATTTTAGACCACCATTGAAAACCTGGAAGCATTGGACGCCGTTTCATCCTAGTATGGGATGTGCATTGCTGAGAAGTCTCATACCAGAATGAAATGGCCGTCCAGTGATTCCTGGTTTTCAGTGATGATCTAACATTGTTCGATCCATTATATCAATCAAAAACAATAAACTGCTACAAATATAACTAACAGAACGGATTAATTTATTATTTGTTGAATAAATTTGAAAAAACTACGCTCGAACTTCAAGTATACGGTGGTCAAGTTGAAATACCTTAGATAAACTAACTTACTTATGCCTGTTACTCCTGGTGGAGGAGCATAGGCCGCCCACCCGCACTCTCTATCCAACCCTGTCATGGGCAATATTTTCCAGTTCTTTCCAGTTGCTATTCATCCTCTTCATATTGGCTTCTATTTCCCGATGTAATGTATTGTTTGGCCTCACTCTTTTCCGCTTCCCTTCAAGATTACAAGTTAGGGCTTGTCTCGTGGTGCAGTTTGGTGATTTCCTCAATGTATATCCTATCCATTTCCATTGTCTTTTCCTAATTTCCTCCTTAGCTGGAAGCTGGTTTGTTCTCTCCCACAGTAGGCTGTTGTTGTTGATGGTATCCTGCCAATGGATGTTGATTATCTTGCGTAGACATGTATTTATAAATACTCGTACATTCTTGATGATAGTTCTCCAAATTTGAGCTTCATATATTAGAGCTGTCTTGACGTTGGTATTGTTGATTGTGACTTTGATATTGGTTGATAGTTGTTTTGAGTTCCATAGGCATCGCCTTCCGCGAAATTGTATAGCAGTATTCAACTGAATTACAAACCTTCTTCAATTAATTCGTAATAAATTGTAATTCTTGTTAGTTAATTATAAACTTCCTTTGAATCCATGTTTATGTTTTGAATAATACTATAGGGTATTACATTAAAGCTAAATGAAGAGAATAAGTGTATTGTTGCAAGGATTCTACATGGTGGAATGATACATCGACAAGGTAAGTAATGTAATTACTTATATGCTCCCTTCAACTGTTCATAAAATTGTACATCTAGTCAACTTCTGTTAGAAATCGTGTATTCTTTTCAAATTAGCTAATTATTATGAATTTTGAATGGTTTATTCTATGAAATTAATTTCTTATGGCTAAGAGTTATCTTGGTATTTTATAGTTAGCATCATCAATTATTCTCACTATAAGCTGGAATATTTTATAGTTTTATTCATGGTATAAATTGGATACAGTTTGACTTTATTAATTTCATACTAGAAAAAAGAATCTTTTTCCTTATTATAGAATAACAACTCCGCATGGAGTCCCTCTGGGGCTACTGCCGGCCTCAAGCTCGGATAAAGTAGGAGGATTGGGCATGATGTTAGCGACCTCATCCCGTATAATCTGTAAATGTAGTTTAAATAAGCGAATAATTATAGCCTTATGACTTTATCTAATTATTCATTTACGGAACAACTAAACATGACTATCTTGGGTCGGTTTATGATCTCAGTATGATCCAATTGTCTCAGCAAACTCATTTGCTGGTAGTTGTCATTCACTCACTTATGACTAACTTTTTAGGTAAATTTCTGGAATTCTGTGAAGAAGTCTTGACCAAAGCGATCTAACTCTATTGGGTGTGAGGCACCTACCCACAGAAAATAATCGGAGATGGTTGGGCGATATCACGAAGTGATTAAAGTGAGATGTGCAAACCACTAAATGCCGTTCACCGTTATATAGGTTAACCTCTCTGTGATAGACTTAGTTAGACCTCTGGTTTGGCCATGCATGCTCGCTGCTAATGAGCCCATAATAGGGTGGGATAACTATCATGTGCTCTCTTGTTTTCAATAGTTGTCTATTCTTGGTAGGTTCGTGATATTGTTAACGCTCAGTCTCCACAAACTGCCCTTCCATCGACATTTGTTGTTGATAACAAATGAGAGTTCTTCAATATTCCCTCAATAATGTACTAGCAACCACCCTCCCTAGTTGATAGGAAAAGATTTCTAATCGGTGAATTATCAAGAAGTCTAAAATATATCAAGTGTGCCGGCTAGCTCGAGAAACAAAATAGTGTGGTGAAAACCCATAATCGTGACTCTGCCTTCTAAAGTGAAGTGAGAGAGCAGTATCTACGGGACACTAACACGATTATGATCAAATAACATTCACGAATATGTACCATAGATTTATAACTAAAGATAAAATCATGTTACTGTAATTAACGAACGCTTGAGTAGAGTTAACTGATGTATTGTGAAAAGTTACAAAGTATTTACATAAAGCATATTCATTTCCTTCAATCTTTCATTTACATCTTTTGGTGTGTTCTTCACTCTGAACCATCTTTTCGTCTAATCTCCACGTGTTATACGTACTGTATGTTTTCAATGCACTGAAACTCTTCACTCCATCTGACAATTGTTGCAACTTTAATGCGATACAGTACTTACAAACAATCTCGTGAGTAGCGTACAACTGCATTACAATTGATTAACATAGTTTGAAACAACTATCTGATTCTAATTTATTGCCTTCTATGAAAAGAAAAAAACCAAAGTTATTTCTTTTGATCACACATTAAATTTCAGTTGACAAGTGTAATTGAATACATATACAAGGTACTATGAAATCTATACTAGACACTGATTTTCAGTATAACTTCTCTAGGAATAGAAAATAAGGTTGCTTACACTTGCTGTTATAATATTCGTTCCTGATGTTTAGGTTTTGTTAATGTCTATAGTAAATTTAAAGTTTTCTTGGCATAGTTATGTAACATTAGATGAATAAGTTTTACCAATTCAGTGACAAATATTAACACTATTGGATGTCGGCTAAGTGGTCTAGTTGGTCTAGCGCGAGGCGCGAGACTGATAGGCCCTGGGTTCGAGTCTTGTGAAGTGCGAGATCGTGGGTGTGCATTGCTGAGGAGTCCCATACTAGGACGAAACGGCCGTCCAACGCTTGCAGATTTCCCCCTTCTGATGACAAATATTTGTTAATTTCATCCTATTTCATCGATATTAACCATATCTTACATGATACATTTATCAATCATTCAAGTGTACTGTCTTATGACACTACTATTCTTTAATAAGTTGCTTTCAGTTGATGCTTTGTAGATATTTTGATAAAACCCAGTGAGATTATGATCTCCAGTTTCGCTAAGAATCCTGATATTCATGGATTTTACAAATCGAAAATGGTACATATATACAACTAGAGAGTATCAGAACGAAATCTCCCGATAATTCTTCTGATTAATCACTGATTACTAACCAATGTTCTATTTGTCAAGTCTTTAGTGTTAACTAAATTGTATCGGTCAAGTTTTAATGTAACTCATAGTCTATGTGACTCGACTTCAATGCATAATCTTCACAATCTATTTTGTCTGCATAATAATATACTGAATTACAATTTATCTCTCTTTCAATAAATACAGGTACTTTACATGTTGGAGATGAGCTACGTGAGATTAATAATGAACCGGTAGCTGGTCGATCTGTTGAACATCTACAACGTTTATTGGTTAGTTTACAGAAACTACTTTGTGATCAAGAATAACACATAAAAATGCCTATGCCTGTATTGTATCAATTAACTTATGGATAATAATAGACGCCGTGTTTTATTTAATTCTAGCTTCACAATAACTAACGTTGAAGCATTTCGGACTGAATATACAATAATTTGATGTTATCTCCTTATTACTTACTTACTTCCGCCTAGTCCGCTCACCAGCATTCTCCATCCAACCCTGTCCTGGGCGATCGTTTCCAACTCCTTCCAGTTGTTATTCATCCATTTCATATTCACTTCTATTTCCCGACGTAATGTGTTCTTTGGCATTCCTCTTTTCCACTTCTCTTCAGGACTGCAAGTCAGGGCTTGCCTCATGATGTAGTTTGATGATTTGCGTGAAAAACGCTAACCAGAAAGCTTGTACTTCTAATCAAATATACAACTTATTACTACGATCATCCAATGCATTAAGTAATATATGGCGTTAAATAACTGAACATGTTCATATTATTCAGCATAAATATTTGCTTCTTCTATCTTTATGATAAGAAAACGGGATTATGTACAATGAAAAGAAAATTAGTCTACTTTATAGTTATTTATCCCATTATTGATGGAAACTTGTTATACAAATAGTAAATTATGATTGCTTCATATATACAGTACAAGAAGCTGAAATCCACTATAGAATGGATAACGATGATGATTATCATTATTCATTGCATTTATGGAAGTATATTAGTCAATTCACTACTTATTTTACAAGATTAAGTATTTAACTTGTAAGAAATACAATACATTGTACTACATAATATGCCTACTAGTAAGCTGTAAACTTAAGCCCATATATTATGTCTTTCATGTTACTTTCTTTCCTCCAATAAACTTTTAAAGCGTGAACAGATAGCAGAAGTTAGGAAGTTTATCAAAATCATCAAGCATTTACAGTAAATGAGGTATGTAGAATTTATTTATGACCCTGAAATTCTAGAACCTTCTATTAAACATAATGAAATCGGTGATAAGATCAAACAGTGATCGGATGAGGACAAAAAAACCGTAATTAATCGTGGAAATGATCTGTAGCTTAGGTGGATGATTTTGATGGGGTTTTGTTCAGGTAGAATTTTGTGCTGATGATGTCGTTCAGAAGAATGATGACAGCTCCACGACCAAACCAACCAGCTCAGAGAACAAAACCCCATCGAAAGCATAGCCAATTGTTTGCTAGATTTCCAAAAAGTATTATTTAGGCAAAATGTGTAAAGCATTTCCACTTGATTCGGAAAACTGTTTCAAAGAATATAATCAAGCGCTCAAAATATCTACATTTTTTTTCATTAAACCAATTTTATTTACTTATGAGTAATAAGATGTTTTATACTTAATTTTCTATTTGCCATTCTTACTCAAAGCGTAATGCTCGTGGAAATGTGAGTTTGAAAATTATTCCCAGTTATAGAACACATCCATTACAATGTGAAGTAAGTGGTTATTTTTTTCAAATTAATGATTAAATATGTAAAATGCATTAGGAATATCAAAACTTTGTTTGATTTGTTATAATAAAATTTTCGGCAAGACTATAATTTATGGATGAGTCAATTAGATATAAGATAACGAGTCACAAACTTTTGGCGCAAGATTCATCCATCCATTTGAATAAATAGAGTTTTGGTATTATAGCTGATGTCAGTTCGTGATAAAAACCCTAAATCTAATTTCTAACACAAACCATCAACTGTACATGAGAATTCTAACTGCTTTATAACTGTCATTAAGTCCTAATCTGTGGGTGTTCAATCTCAACGTCACTTCAGTGTCGCTCAAAGGTCGTCCATAAATTAAAGTGTCACCATATTCTCTACAATGATGTCGTAATCTGTCTTATGTAGAGGGGTCAAGTTTACAGTTTTTGCTCTTCAAAGCTTTTGATGTTTTCTTTCTCATATCTTCAGCAAAGGTTGAATGTTATACGTAGACATAAAAAACAATGGACTTTTAACCAACTGAATCATAACAAAGTGAACTGTGGATAGTAATTTTTTTATTTTTCATCTAATAGACCGTACCAATTCGATTTCATTGACAGTATTCTTTGTCTATTTCTATTGTGATCAAACTGCAATGTCACCATTGATTTAAGTGACTCAAAGTTATATAAACTGAGTTGAAATGTCAGAAAGTATCCATTATCCAAGATTGTAAATACGCTTTGCTAAAGAGTGTCATCTGACATGAAACTGAAGCCAAGAGTTTTCTTAATTCTTATCTCAACCGTCTACCAACTCAACAATATGATATATGTATATAAATTCCCGACCGTTGTTGCTACCTTGACGCGGTGGTCGGGCTTGCCTATCGTGATGACCCAACCGAGCTATATTGGCTGGAACATATGTTCCTGCAGGTTCTACCATGCCAGGCAGGTCGATTGGAGAACGGTAAGACTAAAAGCAGCAACTCAAGGTCTGAGGGCGAAGTCGTACTGCTGACTGTAGAGAGGTGTGACAGCAGTAAGGTGTTTCCCTCGGACAACCAGCATGACAGCGATGCTGCCTTCCCACAAGGAGGGGTGGGGTTAGAAAAGTTCGACCCTAAAAATGCACACCTCGCCTTATCCCACGGATTTCCGTCTCCGGCGGTAAGGCCCTTGAAGAACGGAGCTAACACGTCAAAAACCTTCCACAAAAAGGCCGTGCGCGACCGGCCTCAAGCAGTTGTCCCTTGGGCTCTGCGGTCACGCTCCCAGGTCGTCAAGACCAACACTAATCCAATTTCCTTTTCAGGTTCCTCAAGAAATACCCTTCCACGGTGTGGGCAGCCGGGAAGTGACATCAGCCCTCATACCCGTAACAGCACAAGAGACCAAGGTGGTCACATTCAAATCTCCAACCTCTTTTCCCCCAACATATCATGGGACCACTGACTGACTGACTGTGTATAAATTAAAAATATAATAGATCGATTACTTGGTTATCTTATCTTTTATAGACTACTCAAAACGTAATATACTTTTGAAAATGAATTCATCATTAGACTATTGTGTTATTTCAGAAGGGGTTTTATGGAGATTGTAATAATTACGATAATTGAAATCATAAGTCAATTGATATTGTGTTGTTTCTTTGTTAAGACATATGACAGATCACCAAAGAGATTCAGTAGATTATCCCATGACAAATGTTTACCATGAATGAAATGTAGTCGATTAACATTATTGTCAAGATTGGACATGATCATTTCAAATAAATGGAGCATTAGATAAGAATTTAAATATAAATGTTATAATCCAATAAGTAAGTAAATGAATACAGTAACTGGTCATGTAAATGCACCTTGACCAAGAATAACTTAACATTGACAATATTCAGACCTATTATGACTTTGATTGTACTGAAAAACAAATAAACTATTCTGCATCATTTCCTTTGTACTATTTACACTTGTGTTCATTTAATGTTAGTTATTTTATTTACTCTGAAGAAGTGGCTTACACTCGGTTACAAAACGTCGTCAGAAATTGTTATGTCCCGTTATGCATAATGTAGGGTAACTTTTCTGAAATTCTGAAATTTAAGGATCAATACTATATGTACATTTTCATCGTATAATTGTTGAATAAGTAAAGTATGCATATTCATGTCTCTCTTGTCATGAGCTTTATTTTGACCTATGAACCATTATTATACGATTTACCATTCTTGAATTATGCCCTGTCTATTAATCACTAACTCTCACATTCACAGCCACATTCGGCTAATTCCTGTACAAATGTGTATTTTCTATTTTATGGTACGTTGTGGCCAGTTTGATTGGTATATGAACTCAGTATGTTTGAAATATGATTCATATTGCAGAGACTGAGATTGATGTTCTGGACTTAACTGGCTAGGTTAGGCGGAAAGTGGGACCAATCAGGACACTAGACTGCTCATACAGGTTCACGCGTCATTGATTTGATCGATAATCGGCGGTCACAAGTTAAAACAGAAATATAATGAAAATATATTTATTATTTTTTGTCATATTATGTATTAGAATGAATAGACATTTATCATTTTGACTTTCATTGTTCAGTGTACTTAATAAATAGCTGTGCTTCTAGAGGTAAATATTGATTTTTGAAGGTGAATTGTTACCACACTTATTATCAAATACATAGAACTGAACTTGTATTAAACGTTTTTTTTTAACTTGGGAATCGGGTACTACAACGCTTTTTTCTCGGATTAATCAACTGTGTAATAACTAACATCATATCTAGTCTCAAATTTTGGTCGACTTTTACAGGAGGTCAGTCACAACTCGAATAGCTCAGTAATGATGCCGTCAAATGAGATAGCGGATACTTTAAAACGTACACTAACATGATACTCAAATTCAAAGTTTTCTTCTGATTACCTCCAGTTACGGAAAATTTACTGGAATTTTATGTATAACTATTGAAAACTGAGGTACATTCGGTAGCTGTACGCATTTAGTTTCTAGAATTCTAGAGAACTTTAAACTCACAGCTTCATATTTATAGAGAGGATCTATGAATCGGTAAGCTTTAATGTCATCTATTATCATGAATGAATGAATGAATGAACAACTAATCAATCTCATAGAATATAGATCTAAAGATTCTCTGAAGTTAGTCATTTCACTCTGTAAAGAAAATGAACTTCAACCGATGAATAAAATTCTTTTGAAAAAAAAATACATTTTAAAGCCCCTTAAATTAGATATATTTTCTTTTGTTTAGATCTATGTTCGTGCAATGTTTGATTATAGTCCTGAAAATGATGATTTAATACCATGTAGTCAAGCTGGTATACATTTTCATGTTGGAGATATATTACAAATTATTAGTAAAGATGATCATAATTGGTGGCAAGTAAGAAATGGATATTCATTATAATCATTTATCCTATACTCATTTAAAATGAAAGCACTGGATGTCCGTTTCGTCCTATTGTGGAACTCCTCGGCAATGCACAAACTAGTAGGTCCTGAGTTCGAATCTCAGGAATGCCACAATAGGACGGAACGACCATCCAGTGCTTCTAGGTTTTCTATAGTGGTCTAACATCAATCGGTTCATGATCTTAACCATTGAAATTACTATGATATCCACAAAACTCATTTGATATAAAATAACAATAATCTGTAATTAAAGATCTTAGACATGAATGTGAACAATGTTGAGATTGAACTCAGTGTACTTGGGAGAAATGAAAAAAAATCTGTTTAGGAAGCTGTCACACTCCACCTACTGAAATGGTTAACACATGTATATTATGTTTCTCTAATCAAAATCTATCTCGATATACGATATTTCTTAGTGTAGACATAGGTCGGAAGAAAGCTGGGGACGGTCAAATTAAAACGTAGAATCAGTTCATGAAGCCATGAATATGATTGTGTTCACATTTCTTTAATTCTGACATTGCGTCTTGTTAAATTCTTTTCTTGTTATGTCAGTCTAATGTGTAGACAACATATAGACTAATACATTTATCTACCATATCTTACAATGCTAATATGTGTATCTGTCATTAAATTTATCATATAATTTAACTGTTTTTAATAATACTAAGGAAACCTTTATATAAATTCTTTGTTAGCGATTGAATCTATGACTAATATATTTCTTAACAGTTGTATTCACAAGTTGAACTTAGCTAGACCTAGAAGTACTGGATGGCCTTTTCGTCCCAGTATGAGACTCTTAACCAGTGCTCATCCACGATGCCGCACGCCAGAATCGTGCCCAGGTCCTTCAGTCTCGCGCGCGTACACTTAACCTGCAGGCCACCGATCCAGCATCTAAAGGTGTTATTGTCTAACTTCAATCGATCTCACAACCGACACAGTTTATTTTTCAATGATGGTCTAGTTTAGAACAACTCGTGAATTCAACTATCAAAATACTACAATCTCTACAAATCCCCATACTAACAATATATGTTTCTATATTTGAAGAATGTGTAGATACCTTTTATTCTATGGATTTATGTTCATTGAAAATAGGTTCATTATGATTATTTGTATAATTAAATTGTGTTTTACAATGAAAATACTAAACACTCGTTTCATTCTATTTGAAAGATTTGTCATCTCAATGTATTTGTGATCTCAATGTTAATATAGTCAGATTGATAGTTTAAACCCGCGTACTTATTTCTTCAAATTCTCCCATTGAGCTATTGATTCATAGTACTCACTCATTTGTTTAATGGATTCATAATGCATTCATAAAACTTTATGCTATTCCATCTTTTTGATATTTTGTACTGGAATTATTCAGTTCCTGTTGAGATTTATGTACTTTATTTGAAAGCTTCGATTTAACTTGCGAACTACTAGCTTATCGTGTGTTTAGATTATTGTTGGTAGTAAGGTAATACAAACCCCTACCAATAGTTATAGAGCTATTAAATTTAAACAAACGATAAGTGATTTGTATATCATATTGCCTTTAAATGCCCTGGTATGGCCGAGAGTGTGGAGAGTCAACTCTCCCTCTCTAAATGCTCTCACATGACCACATGCATACAACTGCTGACAGGGAAGTTCTACTCAATGCCTTCTTGAGGCCACGCTGTTAGTTACGAAATTGAAAGGACAAAAAGCGAATGTCCAGCGCTTGAACCGGGTTAGTGGACAAGGAGAGTCCACGTAGGGAAGTTGGAAAACCCTGATTCCAAATCAATGGTGCACATGGGCTCTAGTATCCTGAGGGAACAAATGGTGTATGAACCAATCGTTGGTCACTGGCTGCCATAGGACTGCATCTCCTGACGTTGCTCCACTGCCTTGTAGATCAGATCTTTAGGTCAAAAGCTCCGGGTGTGTCTCCCTAAGAAAACCACCTGGTTCGATTTGGGTACCCGGGCAGTTTCACAGCCCTCACACAAATTGAGTGATTTATGTGGTGTATATCTATTTAGTGCTTCCTTGTACTAATGTTTATGTGTTTAAGTAATAAATGACAATAATAATGTCTATCATATCATTTGGTTTTATTAATTAAAATGTTCAATGTGGAGCTATTAAGCCAAGTTACAGAGACTCTATACTACTACGTTGTATTGATTGTCGAGTAGTTTACAAAATCGGGCCAGTTAATAATTGCCACTTTCGTTAAAATTTTGGAAGCTGTTTTAGATAATCATGTTTCTTGTATAAACATTTTTGAACGTTCAAATTACTTCTCAATTCTTTGCATATATTTTGCAAATAAATCCTAACAAGTACAAAACGTAGGTCATAGTCTACAGAAATCTCATTGAAAACCTTTCGTGATTTGTGATGTTATAAAATAAGGCAAGTACTTATTACTCCTGACGTTCTACCATCGTGCATATTTAATTGTTGTTCAGAAAAAGGGATTAGAACAATAGAAAAACCGAAAAGTTCTACGTTTTGATTTTGAACGTAAATTTCTTTAGGGTAACGTGTTCAAAGTTGATGAGTTACCCCTCTTAAAATCCATGTTGGATAATCATCTGAATGTTTATTATTATTTTTTAAATTATATCTACACATAAACACCGTTCTTTTTTTATTTGGTTCAGGCTCGTTTATGGGGTTCGGATTGTCAAGCACCAGCGGGTTTAATTCCTAGTCCAGAATTACAAGAATGGCGTATGGCAAATAAAGCAGCTGAATTATCACGTGAAATGGGTATTACACATTGTGGTGCATGGTTTAAACGTCGTAAACGTCATTTTAAAGATAAATACAAAAATAAACATTCAGCTATTTATGATCAATTAGATTTAGTTACTTATGAAGAAGTTGTCAGATTACCACAATTTCGTCGTAGAACATTAGTATTACTTGGTGCACATGGTGTTGGACGACGTCATATTAAAAATTGTTTAATTCAATCATCACCGGATAAATTTGCATATCCTATTCCTCGTGAGTTATAAATACATAATGATAGAAGTTAATCGTATTTTATAATTTTTCATAAACTAATTGTTTACTGAATAAAATGATTGAAAACAACATACCCAATAATAATTATTGGTAAAACTGTGGAAGATGTAGATTCCTTCACGTACTTGGGAAGCATCATCGATAAACAAGGAAGATCAGATGCTGACGTATAGGCAAGGATTGGCAAAGCAAGGGCCGCATCCCTACAATTAAAGAACATATGGAACTCAAAGCAACTACCAACCAATATCAAAGTGATAATCTTCAATACGAACGTCAAGGCAGTCCTACTGTACGGAGCTGAAAATTGGAGAACTACTACAACCATAATCAAGAATGTACGAGTATTCATAAATAGATGTCTGCGCAGGATACTCAACATCCATTGGCCGGATACCATCAACAACAGCCTACTGCAGGATAGAACAATTCAGCTTCCAACTGAAGAAGAAATTAGGAAAAGACGATGGAAATGGATAGGACATACATTACGCAAATTATCAAACTACATCATGAGGTAAGCGTTAACTTGGAATCGTGAGGGGAAGCGGAAAAGAGGAAGTCCAAAGAACACATTACGTCGGAAAATTGAAGCTAATATGAAAATGATGAATAACAACTGGAAAGGGCTAGAAAGGTTTGCCCAGGACAGGGTTGGAGGGAGAGTGCCATTTGGCGGCATATGCTCCTCCACAAGGAGTAATAGGCTTAAGTAAGTACGTAAGTAAGTAAGAACGTAACCATAAAACTGTACATTTTTACTATAACACTCTGAAAAATACTTTCCATTGTTATTGTTACTCTTTTGAAAATGTTCTATGTTAGTAAGGTTTCGCCTTCGTTGTTAATCAATTCAAAGATTTATAAATTCACCTCGAAAATTCATAAATTTACCACGAATTAATAGATTTGAGTGATAATGAAGATTCTGATTGATCAAGCTTTAATCTATTTAATCGCTTTCAAATTTAATCATTAGGACTAATCATACTCTTTTATTGCCCAAAACGATGTAGATAGAGTTGAGTCTAACCTGACACTTATTGTTTGTAAGTTGGCTGCTTTGATTATTATTCCTTTCAATGGAGGAATACGAATCAGGATAATATGAGGTTGACGACCTCGCTAGGGATTAAACCCAAAATCCGCAAATTTTTGTCATTATTAGATCATTGAGTCGACAAGCAGAGATTCAGTGTTTTCAGTTTTAATCAGTTGACTTTTCTGAAACAAGATCATCCATTGCCATTGATGAAACAAGCTATTACTGAAGTTACATTTCAGTACACTACATTACTGAAGTCGATCGAAAACTAACCTCCATTATCTGCAACCACAGTATTAAAGTTTTAAAACCTAATCAATCATTATATTAAAGTTATATGGTGGCGAGTTTCATTCTATATACGACTCACCAGATGGATATATGTATATTAAATTGATGATGTTTCACTCAGATTCAAACCTTCGCTTTAAATGTCAACATATTGTCTACTGATCTACTAAATCCAAATATTAAACAATTGTTGTAAGTATCCAAGATAAGGTTCGTACTACTGATAATAATCGAGTCATAGTTTTAATAAAACGTATAAGCGAATTTGTTTTGTAATATTATGATGCAAATTACTTGGTTTGGGTGCGCGCGACTATTGCAACTAATGGTTGGAGAATCTGGGTGAAATGGCTCAGAAATGATCACAATGGTGTAGGTGCACACACTCTTTGTCTTCCCTTAAACTATGAGATTGGAATTACTTTATATCCTCCTGTCTATGAACTAATTCTTTCTCCCTGTCTCATATCGTGATACACAACCTTTCTTTTATATATATCACTATCATTGATGTAACTGCTTCGATGAATTTTCCGATCATTATGTTGTGCTAATGAGGTATGGCAACTTGGATCGATGCATATATGTGCCTGATCCTACATTATACATGGCTGACTGTAATATTATAAACTTTGAGTGCATGTGCATCCACTCCTTGTGTTCTCTCAAATTTTAATCTTCTGAATTCTTCATGTCCTTTTATTTTTTTTCTTTTTCCACATTTATTTCATTGGATTATAGTCCTTGAATAACATCTTCAAACCCTAATGTTTCCGATTACTGATTATACTATTACTACCTCTACCGCTATGTGATTTGGGTAGACAATTGTATCTCTGTGCTAATGTGGTATGGCAACTTGAACTGATGTATGTACGTAAGAAGCTCTACGTTGTTGCTGTCTAACTGACTGCCTAACTCCTTAACAACATGATTAATACTTCATATGGATATTGGAGAATTGTCATTTGTTCTTTTAAAACAAATCGCCGATAAAATATTTTCATATTTATTTTACAATTAGATACAACTCGTACACCACGTAAAGATGAAGTGAATGGAAAAAATTATTACTTTATTTCACATGATGAAATGATACGTGATATTGCTAATAATGAATACTTAGAATATGGTTCACATGAAGGAGCAATGTATGGTACAAAATTGGATACAATAAGACAAATACATGCAACTAGTTTAATTGCTATATTGGATGTTGAACCACAAGCATTGAAAATATTACGTACTGCTGAATTTGCTCCATGTATTGTATTCATTGCAGCTCCAACTCTCACTAATATCACTAATGGACAGAATAATAACAATAATAATAACAATAATGGTAATGATAATGTAAGTTGCGTAACATCATTTTTACAAACGGATTTATAACTTTTTCAGTTATACCTTCCTTCTTTAAAACTCAGCACTGAATTTTTAATGTTTTCATTAACGATCAATCTGTCCAGGATTCTTGTAATTTTTCGAGATCATGAATCGACCAATATTATACCACTATTAGTAGCGTGCATGCACTGGGTGACCGTTTCGTCCTATTATGGGTCTCCTCAGTAATGCACACCTACTATATCGCACACGGGATTCGAAATCAGAACCTTTGGTTTCACTCAAACATCGAACGGTTCATGATCACAAAAAATTCAGCTGTCTCCATAAATGTATACTGATTTCTACCAGTGAAAAATTGTAATGCTATTACACTGTAATTAGGCTCCAATTCATTTCATTCATTTCTATTTGGGTAATCTTTGACCTTTTGTGTAGACGAGGCGAGAGATGTGGGATACTTAGAAATAGTTAATTTATATGTGTGAAGAAAGACGCTGAACATGCTTCCATATTGACAGCGATTATTTATTCACAATCGTGTTTGCCTTTAACCTGATTCCGGACAATCAAAATGACTGCACAAATAATGACATCATGTGGAATGAAAACAGTCTACTCAATGTAATATGGGCACAATAAGATTTTTGTTAATAGTGGAGGGATTCTGAAACCCCATTTTTTTAAAAAGTATAAACTGATAAGGATATTGTTCAAAAAGGCAGTGCGAAATTTAAAGTTAAATCACTCAAATCAAAAAGTGCACTATAATTCCGATTGTAGTGAACGAGAACAAAAAATGGCATAACCGAATGTATTTGAACACAAAATTACAGAGCATCAAAATAAGATCTGAGAAGCATACAGTAAATACTTTATTTGCAAAGTGTCAATCAATCGTCTTCGACTTGATTGTTCCTTCGTTTCCACACCAATCATTTCGTGTTCTCGTTTTCTTTCCATTGATCTACTTAACCTTCTGCTGCCAGACGTTTCACTTTTGATGGACGATACATACTACTGATATCTTTTGACATCAGTAGCATACATCACATTATCATAAGCTACAAATCCATGTAATATATTAATAAAATATAATATTAATTTACTTGGTATTGTTTTACTCGAATCTTACCATTGATGTTTAAGACTGAAATTGACCAGTCTCTTATTGGCATATGTGCATACTGTGCGTATTGCTTCGGTGTTGCCTTAATTTACAAGCATTATGAGGAAAGATGGATGGTGGATAGCAGTAGAATCCAAGACGCGCGTTTTAGAAAATTTTGTAGACTATCAGTATAGTACCACTAAAAATAATAACAGAGAACATGATCCGACTGATGTTAGACCACCATTAAAAACTTTGGAAAACTGGATGTCGTTTCGTCCTATTGTGGGACTCCTCAGCAGTACGCACCCACGATCCCGCTGGTGGGATTAGAAACTAGGGCCTTCGGTCTCGCACGCGAACATTTAACCTCTAGACTACTGAAGCAGTGGCCTTACATCAATCAGTTCATGATCTCAATCAAAAACATATTAATCTCCACAACCCCATACTGACAATATTAATAATAGACATTGATTTTCCCTTAGAAACAATTAAGCTTTTAATTTGTTCACTGTTTCTCTCCATAGGATGAAAGTCTTGAAAGATTAACACGTGAAAGCGCATTATTAGAACAACATTATAGTCATTTTTTCGACTTAAAAATTATTAACAATGATATTGAAGAAACAATTACTCAACTTAAACGTGTAATAGATGACTTTCAAATTACTCCACAATGGATACCAGTTACATGGGTCTATTAAGTATGATTCATTTAATCATGATTATACAATGTTGTGAATAATGTTACAATTGGACGAAATGGTTTTGTTTCTTTCAACTTCTCATTGTTCTTATTATCAATTGGATGGTTACTTTTCATAGAATGTGCTTTCTTCTTTATAAATTCTTCTTTTCTCTCTCTCCCCCCCTCTCTCTCTCTCTGTGTGTGTGTGTGCACCCATTCAGTTACATCTTGTTTTCCTAACCTTTTAACCTTTATCTTTGCTACTATTCTTTCATAGTATCTCTGTTCTTTCCCAACCCCCAACCCCTTATTCACATTTTAGTTTTTTTCTTAACTACGTAATTCGGATTCTTCATCGTATTCACATCATTATCTTTCTTGTTTATTCATGTTGAAAATCAAAGGAAATGTTTTCATTTTGTAGAGATGATCAAACAGAAAACTTCCCCTAGTCAATTATCACTTCTAATCCATCATCGTTATTCTATTGCATTTCTCTGTATATAATATAGTAGTCATCTAAAAGATGCCATTGCTTCTTTTTACTTTTGTTGTTGGTATATTGGTTATTTACTTATTAAATCAGTATTAAGTAGTATTGAAATCTTTTGTCTCACAGTTTACTTCACGTGATCAATCGTAATTGAATTCATTGAATCTTGATCATAACATGATCATTTTGTTAATAGTTGATTCTGTTTTGTTTTTCTTTTTTGATTTTAACTTTTGTTTGTTGGTGTTTGTTTTCTTCTTTAAATTATCAAGTTCTACTTTCATTTTGAATGATTTCAGTTGATAATTTTTTTCTGTCTGTATTTACTTTAAATAAGAATAAAACTAAGTTTCAGTTGAAATGAACATCTCCTCAATGATCGTTCGAGATGTTGTTTTCTAATTTTAAAGCTTATTCAATTAACTTACATAAATTATCATCCTACTTTTTAAATGTTGGAGAAGATTTGGAGCTCAGTTGAATGCTTCAACATGAAGAGGTGGGAGCCGATGAGATTACCAAGAACGACACGATATTCAAGGATGTTCAGTAATTAGATTATCTAACGAACAGGGCAAAACACCAGAATATATGAGCATTGTTAAAATAAGTATTTCTTGACTTGCATAAATCTATGATTTGACAGCACCGTTTAACTCAGTTCTCAAACAGTGACTACTAGGATTAAGATACATAAGTATATGACTGACAGCTATAAATTATTTTATTGAAATCCCATGTGTAGTTACTGAAAAAAACAATCAGTCACGGCACTTAAGTAACTTTCCTACTGGTCTATCTTCCTTATATTCGTCTCTCAAATTCATAGAAGGCCACTTATGTGTATATTTAAATAAGTGGAGACTTCGTTGGTTTCAAAATTGACTTCATGGATTTTAAGCCATCAATACCGTAGTTGTAGTTGGTAGTTTAACAAGAAGGTGAAGTATTCAGAACTGAGTGCTGCGAATTTCAACGGCCTATCAAAAATTATCGTGCGAAAATTTTTGAACTTGTCAAAGTCATCTGTCACACTAAATGTAAAGTTTTCCACATGCAGGTTCACAGCCACAGTGATGAGTTGTTAAGATACTGCTATAACTCGTAAATTACATCAGTTTTCGTATTGCATGTTGTTATTAGAGAAATGTTTACATAAATTAATTCAAGTCAACCGATCTATTGGTCTGGAACATAGTATTTACAACTACGGGAAGCACACTTTATGAAAGCCGTCTTGGTTATTGTTGAATAATGTTGCCTAGCATTCCTAAGTACACGTATTTAGAGATGACTGTGAATATTACATCTATTACTTGTTCATAAAGAATAAGTGGAATATGTCTAGCAGTGAAATCTAAAACTCTCGTCTCACTTGGGATTCGTCGGCCAAATATATCACTGACAGTTAAGCTATTGATTTTTCGTTACTAGTGTTCTTTTCATATATACTATCGGCTACGTTTGTGAACCATTCACAGACGTTAACCTAATATACTGGTCAGCAAAGACAGGGCACCAAGTGAACAATAAAATTCATCACCAGTTTTCAATTCCAACGGGATTTCCGTTAAAATAATTTCTGGCAGGATTAGACAATCAGTTGTCGCCTAATTTTATTGATAAGCTATCTTTATATTGTAAATACATTATTAACGCATGCATTTTGAGTGTGAAAGAAGTTATTATCAATTTTCTACTAAAAGTGTTTAATATCTCTCATTTAAGAATCAAAATTATTTGTGAAAGACAAAACTATGACTTTAGTTCATCAGTTGATTTCCTACCAACAGAAAAATACGAGGTAATGTTAGTCATAAAGTGACAATAAAAGAAATACAGAACGCATTATAAAAGGTGGTTATTCCAAACAACGTATGTGGTTTTACAATTAAAATCATATTTGGAAATCATTTCAAACTTTTAATTAGGTAAAGGCTACATTTGACTGCTGTTTTAAAAGAAATAATTATTGAATAGCTAAAATAAGAAGAGTTACAAGTAAATCAATATTCCGATTGACGCCATGTTTCATATTAACGCGTGCTGCGTACTGCGAATACAAATGGGGATTCCAGTTCGACTATCGCCATATTCATTTTTCGAATTAATTACTCACTCCGAAAATGCTAAATTGACCAAACGACCCAGAAAGCTTTGATATACCACAGATATTCGGCGCTTGTTAACGCTTTTATCTGCAACACCTTGGTAATTGAAGGATTTCAACCCAGTAAACTCAGAAGTCGGGGATGAATGTGTTTGCAGTGTGATTTTCCAGCTTGTCCTTATGTTAGAAAGAGGTTAATCTATGCTGGTTTGTGGTTGCAAGGGTGGCGTAGCAAGGAACATCCACTGGTAATCCGGTGCACATGTTTGACTGAATGCCTTGAGCTAAAGTGCATCCAGTCAAATCGGTGAGGTCGTTATTTATCTTGAGATGGTGGATTCATTTTCCTCTACAAATTCACTGTTTATTTTCCAAGTGCGGTTTACTATAACCAAGTTAAAGATTAGATAAGCCTAGCGGAAATTTATCACTGTCGCATATGAAATATAAAAGCGACAAGAGCTCAGCTTGCAGTGCTGAACAAAGTTTTAATGAAGCTTTCAAGTCCACGACAAGTTCCATCGAATTACAGACCTGTACGCATAACGGATCACACCTAGGGAGTTCTGGATTAATGCGCTAGACAACGAAAACTCAGTGGATGTTGTCTACATAGACTTCAGTAAGGCTTTTGACAAGGTGTAAACTAATAGACTGCCATTGAAGTTGGCAAACCTTGGTATTGCCGGACCTCTTTTAAAGTAGATTAAGGATTTCATAGTAGGTCGTAGACAAAAAGTAAGAATAAATTCCAAGTGCTCCATCTGGAGACCAGTACTTAGTGGAGTACCCCAAGGTTCCGTCCTAGGTCCTTTACTTTTTATTATGTACGTTAATGATCATACAAGTATAGTACAGTCTACAATGTTATTATACGCTGACGATGTAAATATTTGACGAGTAATAACTGGAGACGAAGACGCATTTACTCTTCAGGCAGACTTAAATAATATGATAAACTGGTCTAAAGAGTTGCTGATGCCTATCAACGCGGCAAAGTGTATCTACATGCACTTGGGGGATTCAAAGGTTAATACGTACAACATAGGGGATGTGTCATTACCCGTATTCCGGTCTCATAAGGATCTAAGGGCGACAGTGAGTCATGATCTTAAGACGACGGCCAATTGCCGGGAGGTCGCAGTTAAGTGGTTTTGAACCCTCTGGGCTTTAAAAGGGACATTCAACAAGTTAGATACTACCATGTTCACCACAGTATACACATCCTTAGTGAGAACTAAGCTAGAGAACTGCGTTCAGGCTGCAAGCCCCTGCTTAAAAGGTGACTCAGACATACTAGAAAAAATACAGAGGGCAGCTACGCGTGCAATTCCGGAACTCCGGGGTTTACCATATAAAGAGCGGCTTGAAAAACTGAACCTCTTTACTCTGTCCTATCGCAGACTAAGGGGAGATCTAATATTGATGTACAGAATACTGAGAAATGATTTCGGACCTACCTTATTCTCTCTCTTTCTTCCCACTAGATCGTGACACCTCAGAGGACATAGCAGGCGAGTAGAAAAGCCAAGAATGAACAAAATACCCGTGGCATACAGGTTTTCACACCGAGTCATCAATACTTGGAACCTGCTGCCTGAAGCAGTGGTATCCGCACCTTCAATTGACTCTTTCAAGAGAAGACTGGACACTCACAGAAGCATACTAGAAAAGGAATAACATAGGCCAAAGGCCTTCTGTCCTTACTACACAAATCTGAATCTGAAATCTTATCCTTGTCCAGTTATCAAGCATCTCAAGAGCAGTGAGCATAAAAATCCTTCGATTAAACTCACTCAAACCTGTATTTTCTTGTTATTTTATTTGCATTACTTTTATTACTAACTTTGCTTTTCATAGTATCCGCTCAAAATTTTAATACTTTACTCGTTTCATTAAACCTGCGCCCGCCCTAGATAGACAAATTTTTAAAACACCGTGCACATATTCTCAGGAATGTACCACGAATTTCATCATCGCTTTACGCAATAACTTGCCTAAATTTATTTTCAATCTGTCAACAACAACAATAGGTTAAACGTTGTGGACAGATAGTTTTAGTTGTAAAACTTGATGGTAAATTACCGAAAATATATATTTCCTTATGCTATTCATCGAACGAATCACAATAAGGATTTGAGAGTCAAATTCAGGTCTCTTATTATCTATTTAAACCGAAAACGCTGAAGATGAACTTGCTATTTAGTAAAAATACAAAGATTTCTCGAATATTGTATTCAAAATACATCAACTCGACAAACGCAAAGTCGTCAAACACAATCTTATAGAGAATGAACAAAACAATTGATTTCATCCACACTACATGGTAAATAAAGTTAAAAGGTGTCGATCATCCATACTGAACTTTTCTCTAAACACTGACTAACACCAATTGCTTCACCATTTATTTTCACAGATAACTTTGTGATGTTCATTACATATTTTCCTCACAATTTCAAACTGCGAAGCAGCATCAATGGCTGTCTCCAAAAGCTCCGGACTTGACCGTTCCATGTTTCTAAGAAACATGCGAAAAAGATCATCTTCTCCATTATTGGTAATAATAAGAAAACGTACC